GTACTAGTGTTTTCGTTTGTGTGTTTCCGCAATCCGTAGTTATTCCTGGAGGTCTTAAAATTTCGAATACAGTTTAGAAAGACGATTTCTCCAACTATTATCTTGTTAGCATATTTCGTATTTATTTAAATGTAATTTAATTTTTATTACACTTTTATACCGTCTTTGTTCCTAAATAAACAATACATTTCTGTAGCCTAAAATAAAAATAAAAGTGTTTATTTGCAATAACTTTAGATATCCCAAGTAGATAGATAGGGTTCATGTTGCAGTTAAGTCTGAAGATATTTAGGTATGGCTTTTTTATTAAAATTGATTAGTATTTCAGGGTATAATTTGTGCATCCCCAAGTTTAACACCAGACGCTATAGGGACAGATAAATCGTTCCAAACGGTATCATAATTTTAAAGTTGATAAAATAACCTCAATAATTAAAAAATCAACGCCCTCGGATGATATTGGAAATAAATACACCTTAAAGTTTTCATTTCATTTCATTTCACATTTTCTATATTAATGAAACATTTGAAGGATGATACAACAATGTAGGCATATTCCAATTCCTTATTAATTACTACATAACGGCTGAAAATATTAAAACAATAGATTGAAGACAGGTTGCAAATCGTGTATCTATAGTCAATGCTACAAGTTGTTTACTCTTACGTTGGTAGCGCAACAAAATCGTAACGCCGCCGAAAATGAGAAAATGCGTTGCGCAGAGAAAGTGCTGGAGAAAGTTTAGAAAGTGGGTGAACGACGGGCCAATATTTTATTTTTATGGTTCTGTTAAGCACGACTTCATTTGTGATCAATTTGGTTTTGTTTTCGATCATGACGGCACCTAAACTAAACAGATAGAATTATGAAACTTGGCTTTATATTGTGTGTTTTCGTATCTGAGTGTGTACAATTAAGGCCAAAGGAATATCTCAGTAGTTGGAAATTAAATATATTTAATCTGTGTGCCGTAGGCTATATCAATAAAATATTTCTATATGCAAGGTAGGAAGGTAAAGCATTGAAATGGTAACTAAATATTCCCCTCGAAACGTATTAACACAGATAAGAACTATTTTTCCATTCATTGTCCACAGGAAATACTAGTTATCGTTAATTAGTTGCTATCATGTTGTATACGTATAATAAATGCCATAGAATTGTTTTATTACCACTGTTTATTATCGTGCTCGTAAAATACGGCTACAATAGCTAATTTCTCTTTGAAACTCGTAATTAAACTCATAAATTATCAATAACATTTTATAAACCCATTCATCCAATTTCAACAGTAATAAAAATACAGTAGCACCAATTGATTGGTTTTATCAGCTATTTATATGTAGGCCTAGATTACAGCTTTTTGTAGTTTTTAAAGTTAAGAATGGTTTAGCAATACATTAAGCGTTTCTAGAATTTCTTGTGTTTCTTTTTTTCGTTTCCAAAATTACATTTTCGCTACACTACTGTGAAATCACCTGTTTTCGTTTTTGTGATCGTTGGACATACTCGATCAAATTTGCAATCATACGCAATTCTAACAGTTTATTCTACAAAAGAAAGTTAGCCTAATGTTTAATTTTTACTATTGGATCATTGTACAGTAATTTTTAACATAACATTTGTAAAGCTTTCAGGCATTTTCAACAATAATTCGGTCCTCTCTCTAAAAACAATTGAAAAATTTTAGCTGAATTCAAATTAATCGATTTTTTCTATTGAAAAAAATAATTTGTATCATAAGGAGCTTGCTATTTTTGAAAAAGCTAATTTAGTTTTGAGGCTGAACTTAATTGGCACTGCAGGCCGAACTCGTTATGTAGTTTACGCACTTGACGATAACAAACGATTTCCAAACTGTTCAAATAGATAAGAATGGCGCGGTGGTGGGGGTGGTGCGTACGTGCGTCCCTGGCACATCAAGTACTGCCAACCTACGCAACAAATATCCCAAGTGTAGATTGGCAACTCTGAACGACACTCCCCTCGTCCCATGCAATGCTTCATGCTTCGTGGATTTCTGTGCGAACCTCGTGTTTACATGTTAAAATACAGTGGAACCTTGATAAGAAGACCCTCGATAACAAGTTGCCCTTGATAACTAGTGTCATTTTCAAATTCCCTTAAAATTATATTACCCCTAATCACATGTTATTACAAATCTCGATAAGAAGTCAACCTTGATAACAAGTCTTATTTTACAATCCCCATGAGAGTCTTGTTATCAAGGTTCTACTGTACACGTTTATTTCTATGCCGTTTATTTTTTATGTTGGATAACCAAACAAAAATTGATAGTAGTGGTTAACACTTTATTGGTACTGTAGTTTGAAGTATGATTTTGTAGTAAAACCTGTCGAGAGCTAATTAGTGTTTATTCTATATTCTTTGTTGAAACTATGGTTCACAATAATCAAGCATATTGAAAATCTCGTTTTTTATTCTAGAATGGGAACTGTGTTGGTATTTAATTTTCAAATGGACCAAACAATAAAAATATGCCTACGTTGAGTTATTTTATCATCTGGGAAGGTCGGAAAGTGGAGTCGATCTTCAGGCCATATCTGTCTTTTTATAATTAGAAAGGTGACTTGCACTACCCCCAACTGAGCTACCCTTAATTGGTGGCAAATTGGAAACTTTAAGCCTCTAAGGATGTCTAGAGGTTTGTGGTGTATGTGAAGTAAAGTATTGTACAAATATGCACCTTATCTACCGGTCGTGGTTATTTCGTAAACCTTACCGTGACTAAAGTTTGTTACTAGCCGTTCTAAAACATCGACTACTGGATCAGCTGTTTATTTCGTTATTGTTGGTTTGCTATATACTAGCCATTCTAAAACACGACTACTGGATCATCTGTTTATTTCGTTATTGTTGGTTTGCTGTATACTAGCCGTTCTAAAACATCGACTACTGGATCAGCTGTTTATTTCGTTATTGTTGGTTTGCTGTTTACTAGGAGTTCTAAAACATCGACTACGGGATCAGCTGTTTATTTCATTGCATTGTTGGTTTGCTGTATACTAGCCGTTCTAAAACATCGGTTACTGGATCAGCTGTTTATTTTGTCGCATTGTTGGTTTGCTGTATACTATCCGTTCTAAAACATCGGTTACTGGATCAGCTGTTTATTTTGTCGCATTGTTGGTTTGCTGTATACTAGCCGTTCTAAAACATCGACTACCAGATCAGCTGTTTGTTTCGTTGCATTGTTTCATTGTTTTCGTTTCTGTATGAACAGTAACGCTACGCGACGGAGTTGAATCTGAACCTGTTTTGTCTATGAAGGGTCACGTGGTTTGGTCACATGACTTCTCGTCTCTCATTGGTGACAGACAAGGCCGAGGCGATACGCACACACACACCTACACACTGTAGTGTACCGTGTAGTATACGTACACACACACCACAGTCATTGAGTAGCATACTAGCATATCACTTCCACGTAGGCCTACTGCACTCTCATGAATTATCCTAACCCCTCATTCAGTTGAGTGTGAACACATTTTTTTATATAATTTGTATTCTGTGTTCGCTGGTTTCACTGCCGTCGATTACACTACAAATTGTATATCTAATTAATTATTTTAAAATGTATTGCTTTCGTTTCCGTTATATAGTTAGTCTCGAAAGTGAGCCAATAAAATTTACTTTATTTCACCTGCGTTCTGCGTTGTTAGTGTTGTTCTGCAACTTTTTTAAATGAACAGCTTTGAAGAAACTAGACAAAGTATGAACACTAATTGGGAAATTGATTCATCCAGATTTTAGAAGGCACACTAACAAAAGTATTTTTTTCAATTTTACACTCCAATAAATAAGCTTATGCCTAAAAACAATAATACTTGAGGTCTTCCGAGTAAGTAAATTCTGGATTTAAATTATTCAGCTACGAATTTTATTTTGCTTTCCGAGTTGTTTTTCCATCGGAGAATAGCACCTGAAGGGAACACGGTAGAGACTGTATACCTAATCGTCCCGTTCCGCCGATCCTAGGCTTCTGAACAAACATCTTCAATTTGTCTTATTTCTAAAGGCTCCGGTAGCTTCTGTCTAGAGTTCCCTGGAGACTGGCGGCATCTTTTACCCGCGCAAAGTCTAATTGGCGCGAAAGAATATCATTTTTCATATTCTTTTGTGCCTGTGGCCAGGTGAACTTGGAAATACGTGACCAATTCCATTTGTTCATTAGTTTAGAGTTTGTTTCGAGAGAAAATGGACACATGCTGAACGTATACACATTTTAGATTAACATAATTGTGTTTTTGAATTCATTTTCGACTTGTGAAAGAGTGCTGATTTTATTGACAATGCATTGAAAGTTCGCACCATAATAAGGGAGAACGCATTTAAATATTTAATGTGTATGAACTTAGAACGTAAATTTTCCTGACCCATAGTTTGAATCGATTCACAACAATATTCGTAAAAATGTACCTTGTGAATTACGTTCAGCTTCGATTATAGCCTATTTTATACATTAAAACTAAAAAAAAGTCACTTAGGCCTATATAAAATAAGACGAAACAGAACACTCTAGTGTCAAATTGCAACAAAACAGTGTTCCTTGTGTCACTTTCTCATATATTTAACAATTTTAATTGCCTAGATAGTTTTGAAACAGCCAAACAAAGAGATATTTTGTTCTAACAGTTTTAAGAAAATGAGTCCAAAAAATTAAGATTAGTCGAACAGACATCGTTGTAGTATCCTATTAGCACTTCTTACCGGAAAATTTTGTATAGCGATTTTCATAAAACATCTTTAATTTTTGAATAAATTTAACACTCAAAACACAATATTCTCGAGTTCTAAATACAACAGTTGTACACATTCCTCTTTGATCACAATCTTGGTGTTCAAAGCTTTGACAAATAACTATCAACTGATGAACGTTCAACAATGCAGCCTTTATCAAACATTCACGGTTTTAATTTAATAATTAATTGTCTCTCATTTTATTTTCTAAATTATGATTCGTATTTTTGTTTTGCAGCCAGTGAGAGACATAAAACTGGAATCTCCCGCCGCAGTTGGTAACCCTGCCTTAACACCTACAATGGTGAGTTTTAGCATTGATTATATACTATATTAAGTGTATAGTCATTTTTTTTTTAGTTGTTACACCCCTGAATAGAGCGTAATCGTAGATTTATTTTTGTTTATTGACAAAAACAAATTTTTCTAACAGTCTGTGATATGTTTTCATCACTCTATAGGAGACGGATATGGGGCAACAGCCGTTTGGTAGTCTATTCAAACATAATCAACACAATTAAACATAGGCCTAATATACAACTGCAATCCGTCTGTATTCAATTTTGCGTGAATTAGTTCGTGGTTTTCAATTTTTCTTATATTTCTTTTTAAAAATTGCACTTTTCATCATAATATTGAGATTAGTTGAAAAATTAAGTACAATTTTCTTAGTTTGAACTACAAATATTATTTTTTAGAAATAAAATAACAAAGAGTTATGCTCTTTGTTATTTTATTTCTAAAAAATAATATTAATAATAAATAATAGTTAAGTAAAATGGATGACTTAAACATATAGACCTAGGTTCACTAGCACAACAAGTTTGCCGAAAAAATCTTACATACGTTTGAAAAATGTACCTTTTTATATAAAAAATACTCTATGCATTCGTAGAATTATCTAGTGTTTTTTTAACGAAAGAATTAAAAAAAATTGCATACAGGCCCTATAAACCCCTTTAAATTCCCTTTAAACAACGTTGTCTCGGCGCCCTTTGAGTTTGGGGACTACTCACTGACCTACCACATTCTAAACCACCTTCTCTCTCACCCCTTTACTGTCTCACCTAACCTACTTCTGTCTTACCATAAAAAAATATTGCTATAATACATTTTACGTCCGTGATCGATATAATTACCTATATTTTAAAATTAATCAGAAAACAAAATGTTACGAAAACATTTTCAAAAAGTAGGGGTAAAAATCGGCTAAAATTCATAGGAATATATAGTGTGAGTGCTTACTAGCAATAGGATAATGGAAACGATGGAAACCAACAACAGAATAATGTCTACTGATTACGTAATCCTAAGTCTACGTCATAGGAAACTTAAGTTATCTCTGGGTGTGGAAGTAAGGAAAATATGGGACTTAAATTTTAGGTTGACGATTGACTAGACTGTACACTACTAAAGTCTGTATTATGGAACCTGTCACGGACAAGGGGACCATTGTCTAGACCCAAGGTAGGCGGAGGGCCAGGACTCAAAAGGCAGGTTCCATCATACAGACTATAATATACCATTTAAAAAGTAGGGTAGTAGCATTTTAAACTTGAAGTTGGCTATTCCAATGGCTTTCAAAAGCTTCATTCAAATTCATATCGAATTCAATTTAAATCAAAATAACTTTATTTGTACACATAAATTTGCAGAAATTTATATGTACAAATCAACGTGCGTGGTCAACTAATTTGTTTCCTAATAAACAAAAGAGTATAATTTAAAATTAAAATACACTAATATACGTACATTAACACCTATAATACATTATATACATTTTGTGATTTAAAGATAGGCCTTACTGATAACTCAATACCTCCTAATGTAGGTGTTTGCTAACCCTTCAGAGCATTGTTAAAATTCCATTTATTTACGACCTTGTTTACTTCCGAGCGTTTACTGTAACATCTCCTAATGGTTCTGTATTATTTCAAGTTACCTTACTATTCTTCGTTCTTGCAGGAATATGTTCTTATATTACTCTCTATAGTTTTCCATAGAGTGAAATAATATTGGAGAGTTTGAGAACATCTTCCTGCAACAAAGGCTACCAAACTTTAAATAATATTTCTGTTTTTGACACTGGGGAAATATATAAGTATATTTGGTTGTGTCGTGAAGAGCTGAGTATTTGTAGGTTTAGCTAGTGTGGTGGTCCTTGACAATGGTAGTAGCAGTAGATAGTGGTTACGTCATTGTCAAGGTCGGTACCACCCAACACCACCACAACACAACCAGTGCAACCTAGCTGACTCTCGCTCTTTCAACTTGCCTTCTACAGTTCTACTGACACCTTTTCGCACTTCATTCATCCTTCTCATTCCCTTCAGCGTGTATTTCCATAATGACTTGGTATAATTTGTATCCTGAATCTCTGAACTAACCTTAATGTTATTGAAATTGTGAATGTGTTCAACGTTTGGTGTCCAACCGAAAAGGTTGATATTGTATACATCAGACACATCTAATATAACATGTACGGAACACTCCACCGCGACAACACAAATATGACAACTTCGAGTCCTTGATTCCGACCAATCAGAACATAAATGGTGGATCATAAAAATTATTTGTTTTTGTTTAAGTATTTCTTTTGCAAAACCAATTAAATTGTTAATTTTTACGATGCAACTTAAGGGAACGAGATAATACATAAATCAAATTAATGTTATTTATAACCCTTTATTCAGACCGATGTTGCATCAATCGCTATGCACTGCAACGAAACAAATAAACGGCATCAGCAATCTGACACATACTTTCTCCCATAAGTTTGTCAACAATATTTATCATGGGTAAGCGGTGGGAGTAGCTATGATATTTTATATAGAAAAAATCACAAAAGTTGCAATAACCTTTGAACCGTAATTGTTACAGTTCCGTACTTTTTTCCTCAAATCCATTTTTTATTTTTGTATAGGGTTTTTATGGGAAAATAACTTTAGGTACCGGTACAGTAACTTTTGAATCGTAATTTTTACGGAAATGGGATTTGTACCATTTTGTTCAGAATTTAAAGGACTTTATACTAAATATTGACCAAAACCGTGCGGGCCATTTTCGAGCCATTAAAAACCAAATTTCAAAAAAATAAAAAAACTCCTGGAGATACCGTGGATTAATACCTTTACAAATACTTGTGGTTTAGCGCCGCTGGTAAAGACAACGCTGCGTGGTCAACATATAAGTGTTGCGGGTGGCATCACTCAATTGCTAGGCGCTATATGTTAATAGATCGATTTTCTGTGATGTTTTATATTTTATTCTCAACTTTTAGAACCTTCAAAATAGCTTACAACCCATTTCGAGTATTAAATAAACAAGTAGGCAATAATTGGGTTTCCTTCAAGCCACAAATGTTTGTAAATAGAAATTTAGAATATTTCTAACATAACCTGGAGTTGTTTTTGAATATTTTTTGGACGCCCCCTCACATCCCCAGTGGTGACGTCATGCTACCTCCACTGAGGGGGGTAACTGGTATTGCTCGGTGGCAAGTCTCTAGATTCACATTGATCTGTGACGTCACGTCACTCCCACCCCCACTTATTTATTGCTAAGCTGCAACCCCCTCGCGTCAACAATTTTAGCTACACCTTGACGAATACATAGAAATAGTTATGTTTTTGAAGTAGGGCCTGATTGAGATTATTGTTTATTTAGGTGTACATTTAGCGTACAAACACTTAAATGCACTTTATATACACTTTAATGTCTGGTGTACACTTCTCATATAGTTTAATTCAATGATTTATGTATTTTGTGACTGACAATAAACTGACAATTTTCTTAGTTTATTTTTATTTATTTATTTTAATTATATTAAATTTTTGCAAACAAAAAAAACAAATATACAAAAATAATAGACAAAAACAAACAAAATTTTTGTAGAATCGTGGTCTTCTGGAAAACCTTGTCAAAAACGACAAAACGCTAGAACTCGTTCAAAAGTGTTAAGTCTATCCAGGCAGATTAAGCAAATTGTGTTCATCCTACACAAAACATACAGGATATGGGATAGCAATAATAACTAATTTATCTCGATATAATTTCAATTTCCTATAGTCATTTTAAATTATTATTTTTTTTAGTTATTGTAAACTTAAATAAAAAACATCAGGAGACATGGACTGTTTTCAATTTTCATCAATGAGCATTTACAACAAATAATTATCTTTCCATAAACAAAAATAAACGGAAATTTTCTGTTAATTTATTACCACCACATAAATTGTACTAACAATACCTAAATAAATTTTAGGTATGTCTCGGTTCTAACCTAACCTACAGTATTCTAATTCTATCTTAAACCTAACCCTTTAACGGTTCTGCAAATTACTTAAACAAAAAAAGTGGTGGTAGTGAATTAATGGGAATTCTAAATATCCTTTTCTGGTCAAAGCTGAATGTTAACAAAACACAAATTAATAGGCTACCAACTCATATTATTTCCCCTTTTTGCTGAGGCTCCCACTGGGTTTGGAAGTTTTTAGATTTTATGTGACTCTACAATACTTTGAATTACAGAACACCCTGTAAGTTGAATGTTTGTTTGTAACAGCCCGGTTCTGTGATGCCGTTCTACAGTAGTGTGCCGCAGGGTCAGATGGTAGACCCGGCCGGGTTTGTGCCTCCCATCAGGGAACATCGATTCCCCAATGCCGTCTGGCACCAAACGCCGGCACCTCCGGACCCCAACACACCAATCGGTAAGTACCATGGTAGGACTTGACTACTAAATATAAAACAAAGATAGTATTTTATTTAAATGACGATGTTTTCATGCACTAGTTATTCTGTTTAAAGATTGTTTATATTCTAGAAGAATGTGTAATGGTAGTAAGAACGAATCGATCAAATTTACAAGATCTCAAAACATGAAAACTTGTTCACAAAAAGGCAACAAAATTGTTTTTCTTGTTTTGTATTACCGTATTGCGACTGGATTGAACAATAGATATTTGGACTATTGCTCGTTCTCGGCTATTTGTTTTTGAGAAAATGCACATTGTAGAATTTTTGCATGAAAAATATTTAACCTACATTAACACTTATGATGATTACAGTATTATTAATTTTGAGACGGCAATGTACTGTATCCCAGGAATGCTGTGTAAACTGAATATGAATACAACATGAGTATAGCTTTGTTGCTAATCAAGATCAGCTGTTTATTTAGGGTGATTTATTCAATGGTCAACGCCAGGATATTATCAAGGGCAAATCAAAATCTACAGACTTACTCAGGATCGAATCAGTGAACTTTTGGTCAGGCAAGCACTATAGCCATACACAGCTAAAGTTACTGGACAACAAACCTACACTTAAAGTCTACTAGCAATATCTGTAGTTTCTATGTTCAACATTCATTTGCTTGTTTTAGCTGCTGCCCCGGGTGGTTGGACTCCTCAGGGTCAGTTTATCCAGCAACTACCAAGTCATCAGCTGGAGGACTTACGTTACCATCATCCGCAGTACAGTGTCACCACCTACCACCAGCCTGCCCCTGCGCCTGGTAAGAAAACTCTTATGTTACAAGTGTCTGAAAGTAGTTGAACCACTGTAAAGGAAAAGCATTACATTTTTTGGGGGCTCGAACCCACCAACTAGCCCCTGCACATGTTTAAGATAAATCTTATGTTACAAGAGTTGAAAGAAAGTACCGTAGCTGAAACACTGTAAAGGTAAAGCGTTAAAATGTTTTGGGTATGCAGGGAATCTAACCCACCAACCTGGCTCCACGTAGTAAGAAAACTCTTATGTTTTAAGAGTCTGAAAGTAACTCAAACGTTTGAGAAAGCATTTAAGTTTTTGTGTATCAGAATCAGAATAATTTATTTGTCATTGGACATTACAAAAATGCATTGAGAATTGTCATGTATACTGGATTGAATCGGTCTCTCCCACTCTAAAGTCCGATGGTAAACACTAGGCTTCAAACCACTTCACTTTGTATTTGATGTATTTTAACACTAGTAGTAATTACATTTTTCTTTATTTCTTTGAATGGTCTGAACCTTAATCAAGTAAATATCTGAAACCTGAAAGATAGCACAGATATAGCATGAAGAAAAATCGGCTACTGAGTCCAGAAACAATCTTTCTCAGGGTTACACTGACAACATTCAGATGTGCACAAGATGTCTCAGGTCATCTTGAAGCGATCAATGGGTGCACAATAAGCTAAATGGCTGAATGTGATTCCATTTAAATAAAATCTGACTCATTGTACAAACTAAAAAATAATAAAATATAGGTTAGATGATAGTAGGCCTAGTTTAAATTTCTCAGCCACCCATACAATGTGTGATGTTGAGTACTGACTGATTATAAACAATTATTCCGAGAAATATTAGGATGTATATTGGTAGGAATTACTGTAGGATGTGTAGGATATTGGCAAAACAAGTTATGAATTATATTCGAAAATCCTGTTTACAATATAGACTTGTCATCAAATTATAATGAATTTATTACATCCATACCTATCATTTAGTAGGGAAAAAACTCAGTTTAGGAATATTTGTATTGTCGCTAACAAATTTTTCTGGTTTAGGTTACCAACAGCAGGGGACAGCGTTTGTACAAACGAATGGCACTTACGCAACGCCAGTGGTCAACGGTACACTGGCACCTACGCCAGTCAGGAATGGTGTTCTAAACGGCATCGACTACCTGGACAACACACCCAGATCTACGGAGTATACAACTATCAACGGCTCTTACACACATGCAACGGTTAGCTCAAGTCTTATCTTTTATGCCAACAAAGTTTGTTTATTTTGATGCAAGTTAAGTCATTGCAGTTGTGTAGAGTAGAATGATCGATAATACTCTTTTAATTAGGCTTATATTTAATGAAATACAAATTTCTGAGGTATTGAAACAAAAAATAGAAGAACATAAGGCCAGAGCAAGTCGATAAACAGTTTTTAATGAGAGTCTACAAATGTGTTTGTGTATCTTCCGTAGGTATGCAGACAAGTTTATTACTATTATTATTACCAATTGAGTGACGCCACCTAGGTGAGTATTCAAACCCAAGTGAGTGAGGGATGAGTGTAGATGACGTGAGATGCCTTGTGTAGCTTTAATAATGACTTAAGACTAGCTGTTTTATTAACCAATGTATATTTACCCTAAATACTTTTGTTTACAGGAAGTAAGCATGGCCCCACCGCCTTCAACAACTCCTAACAGCCGTTGTTCATCTGTCCAACTCCCAGACGCCGGAGACAGCAAAACTCCCACCCCCTCCACTCCCACAACTCCCGGTCCGGGAAACGGGATGCCTGGATATCCGCCCCACACCCCTCCCCAAACGCAACAGAGTTCACACAACTCTAGTGGGTGAGTTGACTTATTACTCTCATAATCAAGTTGTAAAAAGATTTTTGATTGGAAGTTGCATATATAAATTAATAACTCATAAATTGTCTTTTCTATAGATTTTGTAAATAAAATATCTGATGTACCTCTTAAACATTGTATGTTGTATGCTATGTTTTAGGTATCCAGGCCAAGAAATAAATTCTGCTAGCAGAATTGGGGAGTCAAACAATTCAATTAGTACAAATCAACAGTGGAACGAACCACAAAGTCAACAAGAATATGATGGCCAAAGTTGGAACAACGACAGGCAAATAAAAAGTGAACAGCAACAACAACAATCTCTGCAACAGCAGCAGCAACAACAGCAACAACAGCAACAATCTCTGCACCAACAACATGTAGCTTGGAGCGAAAACGAAAGACAGTCCCACTCTAGTATATGGGGGGATAGTGAAAGACTTGTTAAACAAGAGGAAAAAGATACAGAAAATGCTGTCAGGCAAGAATCACTTTATCAGCAAGACAGAGCACATCTGAATAATAAGCTGAAGACCATGATTTTAAATAAACAACAGCAAAATCAGAACCAACAACAGAATCAGATTCAACAAACACATCAGGAATTGACCACTGGTGATCAGCAACATCAGATTACCTATCATCAGCAACAAGTACAGGACAATCAGTCAAACCAGCCACAGGACAGTAATCATCATCATGTTCAGCAACAATTACAGCAACATCAAGCTCAACAACAACAGCATCAACAACAAATACAGCAACATCAAGCTCAACAACAACACCAACAACAAATACAACAAGCACATTTACAGCACCAGCAACAAATACAGCAGCAACAGTATCAACAGCAGATTCAGCAGCAACAGCAACAACAACAGCAACAGCAACAGCAACAACAACAACAGCAACAACAAAAACAGCTACAAAATCAACATCAGGTACAGCAACAATCATCACAAAGCTCCCATCAGTCCCATCTAATCACTTCAGTACCACAAAGTCCACAGCAGAAGCAAGCTCAACACTTTCAACAGCAAACGTTACACCACCAACAGCAATCACAAAGCCAACTGCCATCCCCTAGCTATCAGCAAAGCCAACTCAACCAACAAAGCCAAAATCAAAAGCTGCAACAATTGCAATACCAGCACATGCAGCATCAACAGAAACTGTTGCAGCAACAACATCATCTTCAACAGCTTCAGCAGCAACAAACGAAACAATCTAGACAACAAACACCGTCTCCTTCAACTGTTCACCAACAGCAATCACCGGTGCATCATCAGCAATCTCAGCAGCAGCATCATCAGCAGAGTCTACACCATCAGCAGATGATGCAGCAACAGCAGCATTTGCAACAGTTGCAACAACAACAACTGCAGCAACAACAGCAGCAGATGCAGCATCAACAATACCAACACCAGATGTCCCCTCAGCAACAGAGGACCCCGAGCCGACAGTCAACGCCAGACATGAGTCCACGACCAAGTCAAAGGCGAAACTCTGCTGAAGGTAATAAAATTTTTCTTTTATTTAACAATGTAATGAGTTGCAAGATATAAGTGATCTTGAAGAATCTTTATTTTGGCTATACTTTTGGAATACAGAATATATTTCTCAACTGAATATTTTTACTTGAGATTTATGGTAAACTAAGAATGAATTCATTAAATTTTTACAATTTTAAGTCTTCAAGACACATGACTTAATGATTTTTTTCTAAACAATGATTTAGTTCTATGTTTGAACAATCCTGACCCATAAATTGCCTCTACATTTTAGGTTTGATGCTGAGTCCCAATCATGAAAGCCAAGGTGGTGTCAGATATAGAACTCCAACACCAGTCAGCTCCTCAGGAGAAACCAAAACTTCATCTCAGGGTTCACAAACGCTGTCTTCAACCACACAAACACAATTCGGAAATGTCGATATGAAACCAAATGTCCAACAATTGCAGTTTGATAAATCCAATTCTTCAACGGCGAATTTTTTAGCGCTAGGCCACCATCCTCAGAACTCAGTTACTGAGGGTGGTGGCGTTTGGGACTTTGGTAAGTGAAATTTAATTGTTCAATGTTTTGTTGCAAATTTCTTCTAAATGTTAGTAAAAACAGCTTACGGTAACTATTACATCAGACCCCTTAAAATCATGATTTTTCTTGATTTTCAAGCTCATACTTTGTAAGAAGAGGTTTCTGTTCAAATCTTTGTACAAATCTCTACAGTGTTTGATCCTCCAATGTGTAATACACCAGATGCAAATGTGATGTGTCAATGAAATGTTTGAAAAAGCTACATCTAAGCTGTATTGTACTGCTCAACCAATAGTGTGTGTTGTACTTTTATACCGAAGGCTATGTTTAATCATTATGTTTTTTGTTATAACTAAAAATTTTAAAATTAAGGAAAAGTTACTGAAGGTGATTTCTGTTGGAAATAGCTTGCACACACTCACTTCCTTTGCTAAACTTAATATGTTTTTGCATATTCAAGTTGATACATTAAATGATTAGTCTACTAATGTTGTGTGTTACTCGTAACAGTTTGATCTAAAACAGTTATTGTTTTACAGAAAGTCCAAAAAAAGAACCAGAAATTGGATTATCAGCAATGGAGAATTTTATGAAGTTTGCAGCATCTCTCAATAGTGCCTCACAGCATTTAAACAAAACACATCCAAAACCAAAATCACCCAAAATGTCATGGGATCCTCATCAAAATGTGCAAATAAAGCAAGAAAAAACTGAAGAGGATGACAAATCTTTTCAAAAATCTCTGAAAGGTTGGCAGGAAAACCACGATTGGAATGTTGACCAGAAAACAATATTGTGGAAATATCCGTGGACGACAAAAACTGAGAGTTTGTGTAATCAATGGAATGAAGACTTAAAACACCCTGTCTGTAGAGAAGTGAGGTACCCTTGGGAAGGGAAGGAAAAATATCAGATCAATGACATCAAAATAAAACCGGTAAGTCGCTTAACTATTTTGCTCTGCTTAATCTTTATTTTATCTTTAAAAACATTTCTGCATAGTGGTGCAAATTGCCCCCATTAAGAAGCATCAATAAAACCTACTTCTTTGTTGATACTGACTCTTTCCAAGGAATGTTCTGCAGCAAGATAAGCCTGGGAGACTGAAGTGTGTATACCCATATTAAGACCTGAGAAAACCTTCCATCTCTTGTGTTCTTGGTGTGTCCAAGATGTTTAAGATTAAGATGTTGTCTTGGGGATGCCACAGCATGGTTTGGGTCCTGTGAAAACTGCAGATGAACCCTCATTGGCCGTATTGGCAGTCCATCTGATCTGCCTTTTCGTTACTGTCCAGAATGTGTAGGAATTTAGCAGAGTGTGACTGTGTTTAGCTTTCGTGACCTCCAGGTGGCTTCAAATCATTCCCAAACTAACCTTCACTTATTCTGACATTGTTTTGATTTAAAGCTGATTGTCTCTCTTACTAAAGCATTAAACATTCTTCAAATTTGAAATTGATTTCACTCATGGTAAAAATTCTTTCATGGGACATCACTATAAGCAGCTTTTCAACATTAAATTTTTGTTACAGGGATACATGAGAGTTCCTTTTGGTACTGACCCTAGACTTGACGAACCAATCAAGATTGAATGTAACGGAGAAGTAAAACAAAAACCTGCGAGATTTGTCTTCGATGGTGATGGAGGGCCTCAGTTCAAAGTAAGTTTTTTAAATCGTTTAAACTGTAATCACCTAATAAAGTTAAAGTTATAATAGTTAGTTAAAGAAAATAATCACAGATTTTAATTTGCCTAAATCGTCATATATTAAATTTTGCTATGAAGTCATTTTCTTTAAAATTTTAATCATCTTAAAATCAATACATACCAAGTCAATCAAAAGTTTGATTGATCCAACTAATTTTGTTATTAAGATTTTTAATAGGATATGCTTACCTGAATGGGAAAAAACTCCACTCTGGCACAAGAAACATAGCCTTGCTGTCAACACCAACAATTTGAATATTTGTGAAATTAGTGTATAGTGTAAAGGTTATTGCGATTCTCCTGCCAGAATGGACTCTTTTTAATTCATAATTCAGTTAAGTCTGCTATTCTAGCCGACATCTTTTGTGCTCTATACATCTTTAACCTCTTTCTGTAAATATGTATTTTTATGTTCACAAATTGCATTGTAGATATTCATATTTATTACTTTAATATAACTGATCAATCTGTTTCGTAAGACTTCATTTTCAACCGGACCGCAATTTACATGTTAAGGGCCAAGAGATAATTGTGTCCCTATAAAACCCCTTGCAGCCCCCATTGACTAAAACGGCCCTGATTTTCATCACATAGATCTGTTCAATTTTTTATTTTTAAAATATAGTAATTTCCACTGAACTATATTTAAATTTAATTTAGGTAAAATAAGATCTTCGTAGAATGCACCAGATAGCTTTAGAAATAGTTTAAGGAGAAAAATACTCCATCAATTGTACGATCTTATAAAGTTGAAATGTCCTTTCTAGGGAGGAACAGGTGCCTGGTGTTGTCGCAAAGGCGGGACTTCCGCCCCAACCCTTGAACATCTCAAGGAGGGCGTATGTCAAGGACATCATACTCAAACCTTGGATGAAGTCTTGGAAGAAAAAGATCCTGAAGTGAAGGAAGAGCCATCTTCTGAACCCTCTACCCCTATCAAGTCTGAATTTATAGAAAAGCCAGATAAAGATTTCAACGAGTATTTAGACAGGTAAATATATTTGAGTAAATTTTTCACTAAATTAATTAATTTGTTAACTGTGACAGGAGATTGTACATTTAAAGCAGGTCACAAAAATTTTTTTTCAACTGTATCTTTGTAATATTTTCTGTTTATACTTGATATCAGTTTTTTTTAATACTATTCAACCTCATTGATAATAATCAATTTCTGACTTTTTTGTTAATTGCACTTGTACTATGCATTTTAATGAGCCATTTTATTACTATTTATACCCAATGATACATGGTGTAGAGTTATTTATTCATTCCCTGAGTAATTTCACGATTTATCAAACACATGCAAAAATGTTCAAAAACAGCTAAACAGAGTTTTAATATTCTGTCCCCCCAGTTGCAATAAATTGGTTTTCAGTAAAACCACAATGCACACACTAAAGGTATATTGAGAGGCAATTCAAGTGAAACTTTAATAATCATATCCTATAATTTAATTTCTAATGCAGTTTTTAAACATAAAAAATATCATATCCAAAAATTTTGATTAACCTAAAACCTATGAGTTAAAATCTTTCATTTACTGTGTAAAAATTGTATCCCAGCAAAACTAAAATTTCACTATTTTGTAGGTTGCTAGTAAAATGTAATACAAATTCACTTATGCTAACTACTTTTCTAGTATTCGAAACAACATGAGGCCCGAAGTCCCTGACTGCCAGTGTTTCCCTCCGGACCAGTTCCCACAGGAACCCGGATCATATTACACTCATCTGGGAGCTGCTCCTACCTTACCTCATCTCCGGAGTGACCTGGAACATCGTACGGGATACTCCGGAAAAGCAATCCGAGTCGAGAAGGTATCATCATAACTTTGTAGCATTAGATTCTCTGTGTGTACAAAACGTTTGAAAGGTAAAATAATCTATAGTAGGTTATATAGTTACCTTTCCAATGGTAAATTACAAATTTGTTATGTTAAAGTATAAGTTCACAATATCATCTCTAATATTATTGACTATTAAAATCTTGTAGTAACACAAACAGACTATTACACGGATTTTCTTTTAAATACATCAAATAGAAAGATAATGTTTTAACAAGTAGGTTTGTTTGTAGATCCTGTACACAGGCAAGGAAGGCAAGACAACAGCTGGTTGTCCTCTGGCTAAGTGGGTGATACGTCGTGGAGGTCCGGAGGAGAAGTTCCTAGTGGTTGTCAAACATCGGCCGGGACACAGGTGCGCCACCGCGTGGATAGTAGTCGTCATGGTCGCATGGGAAGGTGTTGCTGCCCAGGACGCTGATCATATATACTCCATGCTCTCTCACAAGCTCAACAAGTAAGCACCTGTTTATTGCAGATTTTGGCTTTTTATGAGTTTTGTTCCCAAGTAATAACAAATTCAGTTTGTAAAGGATGCAAATTAAGTAGTTGTTGGTTCTAAAAACGCTAGGTAGGCTACCTCATGGATGTGTATTGTAACATATTTGGTATATTTATTTATCATTCCATGGTTTTGTATTAATCTAGTTTTGCCCTTTACAAAAATCCCTTAAAATATCATTAGGTTTGGTATAGGATTTTTTACCTGGAAATCTTACCTTGATTAAATGTTGTAATTGCTTACAATTCTTTACTCCCTGTCTCAGATAGTTTCCACAAAAAATCTAGACAGAATCCATTCTGTTGGCTGTCAAAAAGGTTACGAGGATCATCACAGGTCATGTTAACTGAGGAAACACAGTGCTTAAAATGGGGACATAGCTTGTAGGACATTTGCAGTCTGAGGAGACTGCAGACCATAAGGTACAAATGATGTAAGGGAAAGCATCCTTGGAACCATGGATAGACACATACTCCTACCTCAGGTGCAGTGCCTCATGATATCTCAAACATAGATAGGGGCTTTGAAACACAAAACAGAATTTGCAAAAGTCAACAGGATGACTAACAAACTTAGGAACACAGCCCTCTCCTACACAATCAATCAATGCCTGCTTAAATTTTTAATTGCTATCGTTTCTATTAATTTTGGTGATCTCAGTGATTTCTTTGTATTTTGTATTGATAAGTAATTTTTCAACATTTACAGGTATGGATTGCCTACTATGCGACGCTGTGCTACCAACGAGCCACGGACATGTGCTTGTCAAGGCCTAGACCAGGACAGTTGTGGCGCCAGTTTCAGTTTCGGCTGTTCCTGGTCCATGTACTACAACGGCTGCAAGTACGCTCGCAGCAAGATTGTCAGGAAGTTCCGGCTATCTGTTAAAACTGAGGTGGGTTCCTTTCAGATTCCTATTTGTGTTTTTTATGTGATAAAAACATAAAAATGTACACCTATTTGATAATTTTCAATATGATTGGTATCTCTAAGAGCTTAAAAGATGTAAAGTGCGTGCAGCTTAGTAAAGACATAAATAAAAATTTGTTATAGACCCTGTTGAACGAAAACCTGAGGTAACTGAAACCATCATAACAATTTCAAATCAATTGAAAAATTAGGTAGCCTTAGGGAGTTACCTGTTGTGGTGCAGGTAGTTGGTCAACCAAATTTAATGAAGCAAAACTGCTTTTGTATCTATTTGAACCGAAATAGCTTTTACATTCCGATCAATCATTACCTGAAAATTTGTTTGTAGGGGGAGTATGTGAATCGTCCCTGCTCCCTTTATTTTGATCGGGGTTTTTTACTGGAGGCTACCTAACATGTCTCACACATTGAATCTCGCCAGTGATTTATTTTGTTTCAAAACTTACGTAATGCATATTGTTAGATTAAATTTACCTCTCAAATAAAAAAAAAGATTCCTCAACTACTTCCATGCGTATTGAGTAGATAACAGAACCTAGACTATTAAGATTCCACTAAATAAATTGGTGTTACAATATTTTAGTATGTTTTTAAAACAAGATATTTACAGGAAGAAGAAGTAGAAGACCGATTACAAGGGTTGGCCGATAATCTGTCACCGCTGTACAAGAGTGTCGCTCCAGCGTCGTGGACCAATCAGGTGCAGTTTGAGAGTGAAGCGTCAGACTGTCGCCTCGGCTCGCGGCCCGGTCGCCCCTTCAGTGGGGTCACAGCCTGTATTGACTTCTGCGCTCACGCTCATCGTGACCTGCACAATATGAACAGCGGTTGTACAGTGGTCAGTAATTTCATTGTCTACGTTTCATTTTTTAGTAATTTGCTTGCCAGAATTTTTTTTATTTGTGAAAAGTCATTACTTTTTATATTTCAAAAATATTTCTATACCCACAGGTGGTAACTCTGACAAAACACCGAAGTCTGAGTAAGCCGGAGGATGAACAACTGCACGTCCTTCCTCTGTACGTGATGGACGAAACTGATGAGTTCGGTAACAGAGAAGCTCAAGTGGACAAAGTGAGGACGGGAGCCATTGAAAGACTCACCAAGTAAGCCTGGACAAACTGCTTTGTTTTCTAAGAGTTCCACCGTAAATTTAAGACTAAGGTTCAACAGTGAATGCAAATTTTGTGTTGAAGAAAATGCCAGCTGTATTATAACAGTGAATCAGCCGTATTGGTTTTGAAACGTCAATTCTCGCTGACTACTACTTCCCGTTATTTCTGGTTTAAACCATAACGTTCATCATCGATTTAGCACCCCCAGAAAACTCGGGGTGCTTAATAGCCTCTTCCATCCTTTTCACTCTAGATTAAGCTCCTATACTTACACATAGTACTTAACTTATAGATGTTATTACATCACCTTTGACGCTGATGTATTTCTGGAAGAAATTACTAACAAGGATGTTTGTCTATTGTACCTTTCAGAATTAGGTCCATATAAAAATACCACAATAGGCTATGTGTTACTTGCATTCACTACTAAGTAACACAAGATTACATGTATTGAGTATCAGGTTATAAAAGGTTAAATAAAAATATACTTTTATTTTTACTATAGGCTAACTATTTTTATTGTGTACTAGGGAACAAGTTTGAAAAAAATACAAAATTCTAATTGTAGATTCTTTTTTCAGATTTCCTTGTGAAATTCGTGTTAGAAAAGTCCCACTCTCTTCATGTAGAAAAATGGGTAAAAAGAGGAAAGAAGAAGTTGGTGAATATGCGAAAAAAACAGGCAAAAGGTAATCTTCACCAATGTTTCTTATCTGAATACAATTGTGACACATTAAGAGGCTAGGGTTTAAAGTAAACTTTAAACAAAGATGTTTCTTCTGGTAATTTGAATATCTTTCAAAAACAAAAATCTCTTTCAAAAAGTTATAATTTTGTATATAAATATGCTCATTTAAATGGTTTCTCTGTTATCTTCAGAGTGATTAAATCAAGTAAAAATTTTCACTTGTATTCCTCATTTTTAGTTTAGTTTAAAACTGCTTTAGATTTAAGCTTTTCTTAAAAAAGAAATACATTTTCCATATACATAATTTGTGTTTGCTCAACCCTCATGGTTATTGTTTTTCCCAGTTTTGTTTTGGTTTTATGGTCTCAGACTGTCAGACTGTCAGTAAGATATTAATAAATAAAAATTTCAACAAGTGATTTTCTATAAGTAGATTTTGGTTTGAATAATGTATGATCTTGTCCTTGCAATAAATAAACTGGTTTGTTGGGTAAATTTAATCAAATTAAAAAATGATACAGTAAGGAAAAAGATTGATGGAGTCAAAACATAGGTGATTGTTGGATAAATATGTTTTAAATTCCAATGATACTTCTGAATTAAAAGAATGATTGTTGTCTGTTAAAGGAACATGGACAAGAAAAAAGGAAGAAGGAGAAATTCTGAGGCGAATTTTCCTCAAGTCCAGGAGGGCCTGGAACCACCTCATAACTTCCAAGATCCAAGATCTCGCTTACAACAACATCATGATCCAAGATCTTCTCCTTTGCAACATGATCAAAGATCTCCTTTACATCAAGATCCAAGATCTTCTCCTTCATTTGATCTTAGATCTTCACCTTTCCAGCATGAAGATCCAAGATCTCCTTCACAACACCAAGATCCAAGATCACGCTTACAACACCATGATCCAAGATCTTCCCCTTTGCAACATGATCAAAGATCTTATTCTTCATATCATGATCCTAGATCTTCACCTCTGCAGCATCAAGATAGAAGATCTCCTTCCCAACATCAAGATCCAAGATTACGCTTACAACAACATCATGATCCAAGATCTTCATTTCATGATCCTAGATCATCACCTTTGCAGCATCAAGATCGAAGATCTCCTTCACAACATCAAGATTCAAGATCTTCCTTACAATACCATGACCAAAGATCTTTCGCACACCATCAATATGTGAGTCCGTCCACTCTACACGATCATAACTACTTACACAGGCAGAACTCCAGATCCTTCACTCCAAATCATCCAGAATCCAATCACCTTCAAGACTCAAGAACGTCCACGCCCATCAGCCATAGATCTTCCACTCCTACAGATGGTCATGATAGGCTTACCCCTAGAGGGGACAGCAGGAGTACTACACCCACGGGACGAGATAACTGGAACGTCTCACGAGATGTCAGAGCTTCCCCCCATCTAAGTCCGCGAGATATGGCAAACATGTTGGATATGGAAGCTCAACTACAAAGTGCACAGGTGAGTTGTTTTAGAAACTTACTTTAAGTTGTGGCCATGATGTTTAAGTTTGTGTGAAAGAAAATCAGGATTGCTCTCATTAAATTTGTATTTTTACTTGTCAATTCAAACTATATCATGTATTGTTCTTCCAGGTTTCATCAACAGTGTTGGACAGTCCTAGAGGATCAGTACACTCTTGTCCCAGTCCTCAACTTCAACATCCTAATGCTCACAGTAAGTCTCTAATTAATTATCAAACCTTTCTTGTTTTTCTTGGTTATTTTTCAACATTCTATAACATTTGTCCACATTTTCCCAATTGATCAAATAACATTAAACTTGATATGAGTATCTAATTTTACAATTTTTTTGTCTTTATATCCTCACCTTCTATCACTGTTTTGTCTTCCTAAGAGTTTGTTTGCCAATTCAGTAGTGAAATGAAAACCTCATTAGCAAATCTATATAGAGGTCTTATGAGACTTTGTTCTTTATTTGGGAATCAACCATTCCTTGATTTCTTGGAGTTATAAATATTTATAACAAATGGACTTGTTAACGTTTTAGAAGTTATAACTTGGTTTTTAATCTACTTTATATTTAAAACAAAATTCAATTTTAAACTCAAATGTGCTTTATGTCAATTTGATTCCGTCTTACAGCCAATAGTTGGGAAGTGTCGGACCCAGACAGCACTACAAGTCACCTCAGTTCCCCCTCCACCTCCGTCTCTCGCAGTCACGGTTGGTTCTCGGACAGTCACCAAGTGTCTCCAAGGTTGTCTGCTCCCACAGCAATGTCCCCCTCCAGGTCAGCCGTACCACAACTGTCTCCGTCGTCTGAGTGGTACCACGAGAACTCCTGGGAAAGTCCGTCAGCATCTCCTCATCATTCCCCCTTCAGAGTTCCGAGAGGAAGACCTCCGTCACGCCACTCCACGCCGCAGTCACCCACCGAGTCCACGACCTTCCTCAAACCTTTCCCTCCGAGAGACAATCAAGAAACACAAAGACAAGAGGTTAAGAGCGAATTTCCACAAGGTGTTGTCGTCAAAAGCGAATTCCCCAATTGGAGTGTTGAGAAACAGATGGCTTGGAATGACAGTTTTGTAAAACAGAGTTTTGCGAGTGGAAACCCTCCCGCTGAGAGTAAGAGTCAGGAACATTCAGGTTACGCTGGGAATGACTTTCGCAAGACTGTTATCAAACAGGAAACACAGAGCTGGTCAGATGGAGAGTGCGGACGCAACGAATGGTCGAGAGTGGCAGAGGTTCAAGTCAAGAAGGAAGGTCAGAGTCACGGCAACTCATCATCTTACGGCTACCAGGTAAATTTACAACTTATCAACACAGTATCAACAATTTATAATTTGGTTTATTCCAATATATTTTCTTATGTGACCTACTTTTGACTCAGTTACTTTCATGATTAGGAATTTTCTCTTATCAAAAGTCTGAGCCCTTTAATTGCTAATAAATGTTTATGAAGTGCATATGCTTGTTCAAAAAGGTAGTTTGGTCCGATTACAAAAAAGTCAAAGTTTGTTCAATATATTCTTAAAACTTAAAACATAACTGGTGCATGCAGCATATGTACTTACAGTAATCATTAAGAAAATTGAGATTTGTAAATAACAATTTGCAAAAATTGAGTTTTATCCTGGCATATGTTCTTGAAAGGAAAAATAAACTGGCATGTGAAAGCATTTGAACATAGGAATAGCATACTAAACATGTTGGCTTCAAAGTGTTTTTTCTCAAACATTTGAAAAGTAGGTAATATTTGACCAAAAAAGTACTATTCTGTTAATTTTTTTTTAATTTTTCTCATAACTTGAACAAAAGAAAACATTTATAAGTGACAAAATTTCACTATAACATAATCAACTAGGAAGGAAACCTACAACTTTTTTATACGTATTTAGCTCAACCAATTCGATACATTTGACTTTTAGAGGTATTTTAACAGATAAAACTGTGATGTTCACAGGGGATGTCTCAGTTTCAGCTCCCCAGATGGGACCTGTATGGACCGACACCATACGTCCCCTCAGCCGCTGCGGACGCTACGCCTCCTCTGGGGGAGGTCACTGACTTCGTCCAGAACGAGGAGTGCTTTAGAGTAAGTATTGAGTAATGAAATCCAACAAAATTGTATCTATATCCAGTGCTTGATTTACAAAAAATGAGGTGCCGGAACTGTAGCTACCTACCTATTAGTACCTGTTTATGTACTTAATTATACCAATATTTTTATCTTTCCGAAAGAGAGGTACCAGAACGCAGTTCCACCGTAAATCTAGCACTGTCTATATCTGTACATAACATGTGTGACTACCTTTTGGCTATTCTATTTTGGATTGGATGGTGAAAGAGTAGCAATGGTTTTCATTATTTTTATGTCAGGATTAGAATTTCTACCGTCAACAATTAATTGTTTATCTTCACTAAATTTTTAACCCCCACCAATTAAAGAAGGTTTACATTATCCATCCTTCTGCAACAGCTGCCTGATTCTTGGTAGTTTATTCCTACATGTTACAATAACCAAATTGTGAAAAACAAAAGTAGCGAAAAACTTGAGACATACTGCTAATTTTAGAACACATTTGTGATTAAGTGCTGGTATTGAGAACATTATCACTAGTACCAATCTCAACCAAAAATATTTAGTTATAAGACAAATAAATACAAAACTAGGATTGTTATTCAAGAACTAAAACCAAGTGTATCTTGGTGTTGTGTTGTGTAACACAAAATACTTCCTAATTAAAAATATGTTTTAAAAATGTAATTCATTAGACTTTCACTAATCTGACACTAGATGGGGCGGTACAACAATAATAGTTAAGATAATGTTCATGGCTAAATTAGAAATTCCATAGTTTGTTGCTGAATTTATTTGTTCTTAAAATACGTCAAACTTCCTAAAATTACAAAAGTATATAACTCTGTCAAGTGGACAAACTTGTGAAATAAATAATCAAACAAATCCATGTACAACTATACCAAATTTGGAAAACAAAAGAGTTTTGTAAAGTTCATGTTTGATTTAGAGTAGAAACAGTATCGTTTGCCCGGGTAACCAAAGTATGATTGGCATTTTTCCCACAAAAAATGTTTACAAAAACAACAGTTAGCATAGCTTGTACTAACCCGTTATTCTTCCTCAGGACTCTCAAATGGGAGGTGTAGCTATTGCTCTCGGACACGGCTCAGTGCTGTTTGAATGTGCGAAACATGAGTTGCATGCGACGACAGCGTTGCGCAAACCTGACCGTAAACAGCCGACTCGCATCAGCCTGGTGTTCTACCAACATCGCAACCTGAACCATCCCAACCACGGCTGCCAACAGTGGGAGGAGAAATGTCGCATGCGCAAGCTGGGACTCGTCACCTCGGACCCTGCGCCTGTTAAGGCTATCACGGCGCATGTCCTTGCGCGATCTACCACGTTTACCACTACTACCTGGACCACACAGTTCCCCATGCATCCGTGTGTAGTCACGGGTCCTTACCAAGAGGGTGGATCCCAAGGATGATGAGGAGTTCCTTAGTCAAATCGAAATTCCAATATTTGGTTTTTAATTTATTTTCAAGTTGTGTGAGACATACACAAGTTGTGTACAATTTTTAAATTTAATTTTAAGAATAATTTACTCTGTATTTTTTTAGACACGTATACAGGCTTTATCTAGTTTTTAAATCCAAAAGAGCATAAACAAAGTTTGTGAAAACATATCATAAAACGCATTGTTTTAAACTAATATGCGATTTAGTAACTTGATGAATTAATTGTGATCTCTGATTTCTCATGTTCAGTATTTTCCTACTGTCTCATACCGTTGTTGGGTGCTGACAAAAATAATTTAAACTAATATTGTCTCTAAAGTGAAACACTGAACATCTCATACTTGATTAGTACAAAAAAACAATTTTGCTCAGGCACAAAAAAAATTTCCAATAACGTTCCTGTCCTAAATAGTTATGTTTTGTTGCTTTAATTTATAACTGCATGTGTTCAAGATATTTTTTACTGTTGCAAATATTTATATTTTATACAATTTTAAAGTTTTAACTTATGCTTTATACATGATTGTTTTCTTACGATTTTAACGGATATATCGAGTTATGCTGTTGTAAACAGATATGTTAGATTGACGGGGTAAGTTGCGTCTGACGATCTCAAGCTAACACTCCGAATGTGTTCATGTCTAACACCGTATGAATGTGCGAATGTTTGGTTATTTATTCCGTGTGAAAGTCGTGTGATTGTGTTAGCCTTAGTCACCGATGCCAAATTCAAGATCACCTCAGTGGTCGTTGGTTCGTTAGCGTTAAGAGTTGATTGTAAATGTTATGTAAATACTAAAAATAGTATTCCGAGCATTTAAATTTTTCACTTTTTAATTTATACAAAACCCGTAGACTCTTTAGAAATTTTACTAGTCACTGTTACAATTGGTGAATTGTATATTACGTACTTTTTGTTTTCTTCCCACATCGTCCTCCAACACACACACTCGGGTACAAATTTGCAATCAAACGTTTCAAAGACCTAGTGGTGTAGATAACATTATTTATTCTAGCCTACAGTTCTAAAGTGATGTATTGTAATATTTTTGTTGAATTTACTCGGCCTTTGTCAGGTGCGTAGCGTAAGTTGTACAATATCAGTGTTTAGTTAAGCTATTTATTCTTTAGAGTAGACGACCCAGTACTGATTAGTTCATAGGTGAATGTCTGTAAAAGTTAGATTTTTATAACACTTAATAATGTTGGTTTTGCATTTGGACAATTTTGTAATGATACTGCTCACATGAAGCTGTGTTTACACTGTGAAGCAAAACTGTATGTAGCGGATTCGTACGACATTTAGCTAAGCTATGTAACTTTTTCTAGGAGTAGAACAGGTTTTATCTAAATGTGCTATAAAACACTGCTATAAGTTTTAGATTCTGCTTTATGCAGGGTGCCCCATAATGCTGTATGTGGAAGAAATCTGTGCTGCAATCTTATGAAGAGTAAGGCATCCCATAATCTGGTGTATTTTCTTTTCAGTACTGAGGTTAAAAATTGACATACATTAGCAACATTAGCGTTCAAAATCATCATTTGATATCCTTAAATGAATTGGTCACACTGTATTTAATTCTTAATGTGAGCAAAATCCAAACCGAAATCCTTTCCTGTGACATGCTAAAATTGTACAGCTGCCATGAATACTAAATATCTTCACTGCAAAGATTTGATATCAGGTTTGTAGTATATTTTTTGCGTACAGCTATTACTATTGGGCAGCAGAGTTTCTAAAATCTTCTTTACAGTAAATCGTTACATAGCAGTGTTTAATAGCAAAGATGTACAACAGTACAGGTTTTGCTACATAGCGTAAACGCGGCTTATTCGTTGCATCGCTCGAGTATTTCCCTCAAACATTAGAACTTGGTGCAAATATTAACTGATGTTTTACATCAATATTTGTACCAGTGTCACTGAATCAATGTACCAGGGATTTATCTATAAATTCATAGAACAGTGTTTGTGCCTTCAAATTATATTAGTTTAACAAAATTATTTTTAACACTTCTTATCAAAACTTCTCAGCATGTAGTTTTTTTATTTTGAAAAAATTACTTTTTAGAATTTTTAAGTGTTGTATTAAATTTAATAATCAATCAGTATCAACAATTTTCCAAAAATTACATATTCAACTTAAAATACAAAATTTAAACTTTTGATGTACTTTTACTCAATAACGGCTACAAGAAGCAAATATTTGGAAAATAGTTTTCTTTGATGGAACGAAAACTTGGAAAACGTACTAAAGTGAAACACTTGGTATGACTTTAAGGTGTGTTGTGTTTTAACCTTAAACATAATCATGATACATAAAAGAGCTGTAAAATCCCTGGTACACTGAGCACACCCTCCTTGTATTTGAGTCATAGATTTTATACATTGTTACAAGCGTGTGAAACAAAATCTACTATCTTTTGTAGACCTCCAAAGTAATATTTTAAATAAGTCGCTTGCCTTGCTGAAAGAAGAGTAATTTTTACACATAAATTATGAAAAAATCCAAAAAAATAAAAGTAAAAGCAATATATAAACAGTGTTTGTATCGTGATGTGATGTTTTGTGACTTGTGTAGCCAGTACAAACAAACGGGCCCAATTTCGGGTTGATTTTCTACTAACTCATTTTCTGTACAAATGTAGATTTAGAACTGCGTTAAAGACATATAAAACAAACATGTTAATATATTTCTACAGCCTGTAATATATATGGTATATTTTTGACATGTTTTGTCACAAAAAGTTATCTATCAAAAGTGTTGTCCTTTTTACTTTAAAAGTATTACGAAAGTTTTAAAATGTAATGGATATTAGAATTTTTAAAGTAACTTTTGTACAAATTTTGTTGGCCGAATCGGAGACTATTTGATATTTGCCGAGTCTTCCCTGGCTGCTGTTGTTTTTATCACGATTGTTCAAAAGAATTTCTCATTAGATTAAGTGAATGTATTTTTACACTTGAGTTTGTGAGTAGCTTTTACTAGTGTTAGCCTGTAGTAGAGTAGATCAGTACATTGTCATTGTTTTCATGTGAATATAATAAATACATTTTGTCGACTTATGTTTTTTCATTCCCTTAAAATTTTATGTTCGTTTATAAGGTTCTTGATTTAAGAAAAATCTGAAAAGTAACATCAGATTGTTCAAGATACATCTGTGTTGGTCTTTAAATAAAGTTTACGCCACACTACACTGTTTTAAAAACTTCCTACGTAAGGATTTAGTACAGAAAACAGCTGTTTGCCGCCAGCAACGGGGGGTTTCATTACATACTACTTTACTGTTCACTGTAATAAGTTTTTACAGGACACCAACCAGCTGATTTGTATTTGTCAATGAGTGGTTATAAAAAAAACACAACCTCTAGTTATGAGTAGTGAGTGTTAGCACGGCCGCCTTTAACAACAGGCGGCCTGGTAGAATTGGCAACGTCGCAGGTGGTGTTGTTCAGTGACAGACGTCCCATAAGATAAACATGGCAGAAAGGTGACATCAGCTCATCAATTCGCACTTTATTTATTTCAATTTAAATTTATGAACATAAATTTGTTAAAATATTGAAAATGAAACATACAGAATTGAAAACCGAAACAATATTAATTAAAATCTATATCCTGTGCATTTTTAAGCGGAGTCAATATTGTCATAGTCCAGTAACCAATCTTTCGTAAATACACAAATACCATTAGCTACTTACAAACAAAAACAGCTGTTAGAACACCACTTGCGACGTTGCCAGTTCGAAGGCCGTGGCCTGGAGCAATGAATACGTATTCATTGCCTGGAGTTAAATGGGAACACAATCACAGATATTGTTAAGTTAGCTTAGTGGTATGGCGTAAAATAAAATATCGTATGCCACTCATCAATATGTGTTTACCGCACCGAGCACATAATACAATTATTTGTATTACTGTTTATTGTTATTGTATTAACAATTGTTTGTATTATGTGCTCGGTGGTTTACCGGACTCTTACAGTAATCCCGCACTCAACTTTGTCTCACACGGGAACGACCACTTTCGTCAGGTAAACACCTATTTTCAGGACTAGTAACGTAATTTACTATTAAGTCTTACTCGCCTTAATAAACAGCTGCTCATTCACATTAACAGAATTGAACACAGGCTGGAAGTCGTTTTGAGAATTTATCTTCAAATGAAAAGTAATTTCGTTTTCTAACTTAGTTTGTTAAATATAATGATGCAATGTATGATTGTTGTACATTGTTGTCTCGGAATAAAGATTGAAAGATTGATTGATAATGTTCATCACGCAAAAAATGTCTGTCTTTTCAACCCTCACTCATTTTCGTCGTAAAAACTGGAGCTCGGGTCGAAAAGAGTCACTTTACGCACTAGTGATGAAATATATCTTACTATTGGATATTTAAGTTTAAAGTTGTATATTTTATAAGTGTGAATGAATAGGCTATTCAAGGACAAATCTAAATAAAGTATATAATGAATACTAAACAAAAGAATTCAGTAACTCATTTAATCCAACCACTTGGTAAGGCAAACTATACTCGGCGAAAAATGGGGAAAAATTTGATCTCAAATAAGGGTTAATTAATTTTATAAAGGGGTTTTTAACAAACTTAAATAACAACTACTATGACTCATGAGACACCTTTACTCTAAAAACCAGCTTATATGTTGGTATTCTGGCTTTCTTTACTTCATTGTCTTTCAGCTAATATGGATTTTTGCATAGATACCTATGGTTTTATTCAATTGTTATTGAGACAATTTAAGATGTTGTGTTTTCATGCTTCCAATAGAGCATGAACGAGTACTTTTTTTATTTCCTAAAATTTTTGAAATTTCTATATGTATAGTTGATTTTTTTATATTGGAATCAAAACTATATTGGCATAAATACGAAATCAATTTACTTTTAAATCGTGGTGGGTGCCAAGGGTTCCTTTCTACCACGGCCGCCTTTAACTTCAGGCCGCGACCTTCAAAGTGGCAACGTCGCAAGTGGGGTTGTAACAGCTGTTTATTGGCAGCAGCTAATGGTATTTGTGTTTACGAAAGCTTGGTTACTGGATTATGACAATATTTACTCCGCCTTAAATGTACAGATATAAATTTTCAATTCATATTGTTTTGGTTTTCAATTATGTATGTTTTATTTTCAATATTTTAATAAATTATGTTCATAAGTTTAAATTTAAATCACTAACGTGCGAATTAATGAGCTGATGTCATTTGTATGCCATGTTATTTTATGGGACGTCTGTCACTAAACAACCCTACTTGCGACGTTGCCAATTCTGCAGACCACAGCCTGTAGTTAGAGGTGGCCGTGGCTCCCTCCGTGGACCCCTCGTTTCGTGAAAACGCAAGGGTCTGGGGCAATAGTGGTTCAAAGGCTACATTTCACGTAGAATCAAAATTATGGCATCGTTTTTGAAGAAAATTAAATGATATAAAATATGATGGCTGCAAAATATTTATTATTGTACCATAGAAAAATCTTCTTTTGAACGTAGACAAAACATTGACAGTTTTACACTTCTTTGACTTATTTAAAATTGTTACTTTAACATTCTGAAACCAGGGCCGCATAAATTGTTATTCGTTCTGAAAACCCCACTCTCTGTTTTTCCTAGCATGTATGGGTAGTTTACAAAGGCAGTTGCCGTGAACATCTGCAAGGGTCTTCTCGTGGCGCTCTTCAATGTCGCAATCATTGACTAAGGAAATGCACAACATAGCTACTGAAGCCCGCAGCTGAGGTAGAGCGCACCGCGCACCCTTTATGTGCAATACATACTCTCTGTGATTATTAAAGTACTTTTAACACTTGTATTTATTTACTTTACTTTTCCTAACAAATATACACAATTTTAAAAATAATTTAATCTTCTAACCCTCTAAGCCTCAAACGCCAACCTAGGAGTTAGGTTTAAGTTTAAGTAGCTATACTTTGGACTTTAAATTTTCCAGTATTGTTAGTGCGTTAAACAGTTAAGTCTGATCAATCAGTCAGGAATAGGTAGGTGGAGGGTTTCAAATCCCGTTTTGGTGAGGTACCAAGACTTTGGCGAGCGACTCATTATCAGGAGTTTACCTGTCTGGTGGATTGGCGAGAGAGGCCCACCTCAAGTGAATTGCACCTAAGATCTAATTACTACTTTTGCTCATCCTAACTGTACGTGTGTCCACCAAAAAAGTGTTCAATGAATATTTTGCTAGGAGGAGGAGAGGACTCGACAAGATGGCAATGACTCATTTGTTGCACCTATACTCTCTGGTATTTGGATACCTGCACGAAATGGTGGAGTCAATTGCATTTTTGTATCAATAAATTAAGTTAGATAGGAGCGGGGAGCGAGCTGGTCTAGTGGTTAGAGCGCGGGACTCCGGTTCCTGCGGGGTCCCGCGGGTTCAAATCCCGCCAAATCACCAATGGATTTTATCTAAGTGTAAGTTATAATGCTGTAACCCCTAGGTCTAGCCTGAAGTAATGTGAAAAACAATTCCGGGCTCGTGCCTAGCGTCCTAGGACAAAAAAGTTAGATAGGAGCACGTCAAAGATGAATTGATTCTAAGATTGTGACTACTTTGAAAATATTATTAGATTACATTGATAGTAGTTTTTATTGTAAACTTTAAAACTTTTTACAAAGCTCTTGAAAACATAATAACAAAGTAATTTATAATAACTTGAAACTAGAGTTACCCGTTATAGTACGTCATCTAGTAATTTGACAATTTTCTCTGCCTTCAAATACAAAATCAAGAGGGCAGCGCCAATAATGTCCTCTGCTGATTTTGTTTTGACCCATCAATATGGATGCATGCCAATGGCTAGTGCCAGATGACTCGTAATCATGTGACTGCAAGTTGCACGTGACAGTTGTTGGGTATTGTTATTATAAATTTGTATTTGATCAAATTAATGCACAAACACCCCAAATGTTTTTCTTGGATATTTCAAGAATGTGGCTAAAGGAATTCATGATGTGTTACAACCTTGTACCTTTTGTTATGGGTTTGCGTTAAGTCAAGCATTTCTGTTTATTCCTTAATTTGTTTTTTAAATTTCTAAAGGATGGCTTTATTGGCCCGTCTCTTTTCTCCAAGGAAAACCTACAACAAGGAAAAGCATTCTGACCCTCCAAAACAGGAATCCAGGTAACTTAATTAATTTGGCACTATACCTGTTTTTTGGTACCCCAGGCTAGATAACTTAGGCTACTTCGGCTAGTTCCATAAAATCAACTCCATTAGAACTTGAGTAAGTAGTAGTAGGGATTATAGCCCATACGTTAGTCAAGGTTTTGCAAGTGGTAATGATAGTAAATAGCCTAAGTAAGTTATATCATTCACAGTGGTTGATATACACTACAACACAAGACAACATCGACTGCGGTCGGAATAGTTTAAGGGAAGCATCACGCTTCTCTGCACCACTGCACCACCTCTCAAGATCATGAACACTGAATAAGTTATTTATCGCTTCCATCTTGCTGAGTGCCAAGAGTAGTGGGGCGGGGATGTACCGTAGTAAAGAATGATAGGTAGGGTAGACTTCCGTGTTATCTGTTGGCACAAACAACCGAATGAAAATATTGATTATTCTATTGTTTCGTTAGATATATATCGTTTGATTAGTAAGGTTAGGTTAACCTTACCTAACTAACCAAACGATACATTGAATAATCGATAAGTTATATCGTTTGATATATCATTCGGTTGTTTGTGCCAACAGATACGGAAGTCTACCCTCTGTTTGATTTGAACAATTTGTAATGGAAGTAACAAAACCTATAAAAAAATCAGCAACAACTTAAATGAACTAGGCATACGGTAGAGTGGTAGTCTACCTTAAAGTACCTAAGTTAATCATGTTACTGTTTCCTGGTTTTAAAATAGTTCAAAAACACATGTTTGAGAATAGGCCTAACTTACATTTTTCAAAATCTTATGATGAATAGGCTACAGGATAAACCTTAAGTTACTCCCCAGAGAGCTGGTACCACCTGATTTGCGCCCTCTTTTAAGTGAAAGGCAGCGCCTTTATTGGGGTCCCAGTCCGTCCTTGATTATTTTGCACATTAGGCTATGTCACTTCAGGTTAGGCGTAGAAGGTCGCAGCATTATCACATGGGTTAGCTAAATGCCATGACACGACCAATGCGGACGGGTACATTTCCGCAGAGAACCTATGATATATTATCAGATTAAATATTACTTTGATATTACACCTCTCCACCCCTAACTTAAAGGTAAGTTTAAGCTTGCTCCAGACTTGGGTGGTGCGTACAAATTCAAGTTATTAAATGTTGCTATAGCCTAGTTAGTGCAAGAAAGTCGCAATTGATAAGTTAGGGAGAAATAAAACAAAAAGAAAAGATTTTTGAAATCGTACCGTAGTGCATCTTCCAATCGTCCAATCAACCAAAATTTAAAAAAATTGTAAAATTAAAAAAATTCAAATACTAGCCTATTCAAGTTCATTTTTTATTTATTTTTTCCAGGAAATATTCAAACAAATTAGGTATTTTGTTGGCCTGCCTAACTTAGTTACCTACTTTTTTTAATTCCTATAGTAGAAATTTAATTTAATTTTAAAAGCCAGCTGTGAAAAACGATAATTATAAATTATTTACTGTATCTTCTTGGAGTATTTTTTCCGACCGTGCAACTCCATGAAAATTAAAAGAAAAAAATCGTGATTTTTGAACACATGCCTAAGTTAAGTTAATATGTTTGGAAAAATCATGCACTATAGCAACTTTAATTAGGCTACACAACTTTTATTTTCACAGAGCCTGCATTTTTTCTTTTGATCTTTTTCAGACCTTTTGGATTCTCCGTGGACACAAACAACGTCAGAGTGTTATTATTCCGAGAATGTGATTGGAGAGGAAGGAAACTTCTGTTTGATTCAACTTCTGTGGAAAAAATTGCTCTTGATCCCAAAGTACCTCTTGCTCGGCCGAGAAGTAACTCAAGCGACATGGTGGTGGAAGTCTCTAATGGTTATGGTTACAAGGTGAGATATTGGGCTATTAAAGTTTATTTAAAAACCAAACATCTTAAAATAGAACAGAGCAATTAAGAGTCTTCTTCACCCTTGCGAAAACACTAAGAACAACATGCGTTGGGATTCCCTTGCTCCGGATGGAATAAAAAACTTTTTCCCCTCTGGATTAATGTTTTGGTTCTAGACTCTAGAGCCCTCATACATGATATGATGTAGGTCCAAGAAAGTCAATAGTATTAGTACATACAACAAATTTTAAAATTAACGTATATTTAGTAGCTTTTAAACATAACTAACACTTTTTTTTCAATTTTTTGTGGTAGGGTGTCAGTCGGAGTAATTTTGAGAAAAAAAAATCAATAACTTGAGAATCTATTAATACAAAAATCTGGAAATATTTCCATGGATGCTCATTGGTATTTCAAATATATGGTACAAGTTTTAAGTTAATTTAAACTAACTACACAATGAGGAGAAAAATAATTTTGTGTCTCGTAATTTCCCCATTTCTTGGGCCAATTTTGAGACACCTTTACAACAATAGGTTTAACATTGGTCATGGGCTTCAACACTAGGCAATTTTTTTATTTTACTTCATGTGAACACTTTGGAACAAATTATGAACTTATCTCAAGCAGTACGATTAGCTAATTTCTAATTCTTCTAAAGACTTCCTAAAAAGTATGAAAATGTTAAAGTGAATTTTAGGGAACTAACCAAAAGGTTTTGCCCTCATTTTGGGATCAAGCTTGGTGTTATCCAACCTAACAGAATCACTGTAGCCTATTGTTTTTCTTGGGAACGAGTGTTTTATTACTGACAAAGTTTCCAATGTTTTCAGTACAAGAAGCCCCCTACTGACACTAACACACTTGGTGAGATGATTTTTGGATCCATTGCAATGGTAACTCGAGGGTCTTCAATCAAAATCCACGCAATGAAAGATCCTTCAAGACTCATGTTCAGTAAAATAATTCAGGTATGATAATAAGTAAGATACCTAAGTTTTTTATTGAATTAGGCTTCACCCTCAATTAGTAGACACTAGACAGGTATAGGCTACATACCTTAAAACCTTGGATAAGCTGTGAGTTTTATTGACCAAAAACCATCATTGAACAATTAAACCTTAAAAATAGGGATGAGCTGATTCTCAGAAAGCAAATAAGGCCTACTAGTGTTATCCAAGAAGTGTTTATTCACATTGCTTTGGAACTTTTAATTTAGTAACTGATCCAACAATTTCCAGTGGTCACATAATAATCACAATTTTGGACGACATAGGATAATCCATAACATTTTCTATGTTAATGTAAGTTAAATGATTTTTTTGTTTCTAGGCTCCAAGATCGGGTGTAAGAAAGAGGCAAGTAAGGTGAGTATTTTGTATATCAATTTGCTATTTTTGTATCCATTATCCAACCATTACTTACAATAAGTCTCACTAAGCCTCCACATGTAGTGGTAGGTTAGTTCTCTAGTTTACTTTAAGAGAAGTAGGTGAAGTATAAATATGACTTTGGCAGATTTAATTTTGTCTCCGGGAACACTAGAGAAGTTTTCAATACACTAAAATGTTGCAGAAGCATTGGCATTGTCATTGTTTTACATAATCACGATTATATTTTGCATTCACAGCCGCTCAAACTTCAACTGTGATTGCTGTGATTTCACCAGTTATACATTAATATCATAAAAGAAATCCTATCATCCCGAATTCCTGCTTGTTCAAATACGGTTTGCCCCGAGTTAGTTTGGAACAGCGGGACTCTACTGTGGGGTTTGGCCGAAGTAAATTGATGGGCAAAAAATGCATTAAAGCCTGTGAACATCTGTTCTGTGCTGTGTAGCCTGATTCATTCTTCCCTAAAACATGGTATAGAATAAACCTAAATATAGCTTAGTTAGCGATCCAGAGGCTAATTACCTAGGCCTACCATCATTAATATAATTTCCAAATACTATTCAAAGAAAAGAGGAAATATAAAGCAAATGGGTTTGAACATGACTTAAATGAATACAACGAATTATTAAACTTTAAAACTGGAGAACTTGAAATATTTGTTTATGTGATGAACTGCAATGATATTTAAAAAAATTCTTCAATAAAATTACTGCACAAAAAATGACACAATACAACTCTAAAGTTTTGTAAGAATCCATAAGCTTACCAAAGATACAAATTATTTTCTTTTTCGGAATAAACAAGTGAGGCCTTATTAGAGAAAATTGAAGAGTCATGATAGATTTAATTGATATGATTTTGTTCAGTGAAGTAACAAGTAAATGTTGGCTAATTAAACATTTTTTTTACAGCGATGACAAAACTCTTGACGATTCTCAAAGCAGCTCTGTAAATTCTATGGGAGAGTTTAACAGTGGATCATTTGGTTCAAAATCAGGTAAACCTTTAACAGTCTAGTGATTCATACTTTTTAAAGTAAGAAATTTGGTTTCCTATCTGAAAATTGTTGGTTGTAAATTAACTGCATATACACAGTACTAGGTGTACTACATACAAAATAAGGGTGTCTAACAAATAATCAGTTTTAATGTCATATACACATTTGTGAATCAAATATTTTAATGTTATTGGGAAAATTGAGTGGCTCAGTTGGTAGTGGGACAAACTACGAATCTGTTGCTGCGTTGTTTTGTGCTCCTGTACTGGTGCCGCCACTTTAAACTTAATTTTACAGTAAAACCTCGAATTACCAAAATCCAGGTGGCAAAACGGTTTTGGATATTACCTATTTATTTTGTTGTTAATCAATGTTAGAGACTTATAGGCTACAGTATGTCATTCAATTCAAAGAGATATAAAACAGTACTTTGTTTTGTTATTTAATTGCTGTCATCCTGAAATCTACAACTGTCTACACAAATTCTATTTCTTAAATAATCAACAGTTATTTTCTGACCTCTTTGTCACATGCCGTAGCTTGTTCGGGCAGTTCCTGTTTCCCAGCTCATTTACTAATTGATTTGGTTTAGTTATTATTGTTTCACTAAAAAATGTTTTACTGTAGCCGAAGCCTAGTTTGTTCTTGTACTACACCCGCTCACCCTTTCCTTGCTTGATACAAAACTGGCCACTAACCTTAAAAACCAGTGGTAACACAGACCTAGTCCTATACTAAATGAAATCTTTACGTTAGTGTTGTGCTAAGATATAAACATTCCTTTTGTTAACTCCTGCAGTAGGTTCGGTGGATGACAGCGGGTTTATGTCCCTGCCGCTGAGTGACGACTGGCCCAAACATCTCAGCCCGTCTCAACATTGCGGATGTAGTAGCTGTCCGCTCCATCCGTCAACGATGTCTCTTGGAAACGATAGTAAGTCTTGCTGTTCTATCGATTTTTAATATGTGTCAAGTCAGTTTGAATTTAAAGTTTAGGTTTTTGGTTAGGTGTACTTTTTTACTCTGTTTACACATTTACCAGTGCAGTGTTGATGCAGAGTGTTGATCCAGGCATTGAATCTATCTCATTGATCCTCAGGGTGAGGGGTGTCAAGCTCTGTGTAGCCTTTGTGTACAGACCCCCGCATGTGAGCTACACCTGTCTTGGCTCCTTGCTTCGGGCATTGTTTGTGGATGTAGCAGTTCAGGTGGACTATGTGGTATGTTTGGGTGACCTTAATATAGATTTACTATCTAACTCCTGCCCTGAAGCTAAATATCTACGACGTCACCTAAGCTTCCATAACAGTATACAGCACATCACTGAACTGACTAGGGTCACTGACATCTCAAGTACTTTAATTGATCATGTTATTACAAATAAATCATTGCAGTTAAAGAGATGTGGCGTTATTGATACTTCAGCTATACTTGACTATAGAAATAAGAAAATCACTGACCATAAACTTGTTTATTGTGAATTAGAAGTAAAAAAAGATAAATCTATGGTTAAGTTCGTAACATACAGAGATTTTTCTAATTTTAACATAGAAGACGCAATTTCAATGTTACAGAATATCGAATGGGAATTAGTAATGGACATGACCAACGCTAGTCAAATAAATTCTTTCATTTGCTCTGCTATAAACAATATTTATGATAAACATGCACCGCTAGTAACAAAGAGAGTGACAAAGAAAAAAGCACCTTGGAGAAATAATGAAATCATTGTGTTAACAAAAATGAAAAATAAATTAAGGAGGAAATTTTCAAGCTCGGGACAGAATGTCGACTGGATAGATTATAAAAAAGTTAGAAACAAACTGAATGGGGCTGTATGGAAAGCAAAAAGAAATTTTTTCTCAGAAAAACTGGCAGATTGTAAAGATACGAGAGCTTTTTGGAAATGCCTTAAACAGAGTGATATAATAGCAGGAAAGGGCAGAAATAATTTACCAAATGATTTTAGAGTCAGTGAAATGAATGAATTTTTTGTAAAAATGGGATCATTTTTTGAAGCAGATGCAGATTTGATTAGATTATATAATGAAGATACACTTAATGTAAATAAATTCCAGTTTAGAAAAATATCAGTATCAGAAGTGAGGGAAGCTATTAATGAAATTACCTCTACAGCTGTCGGTGTTGATGACATAAGTATTGCAATGATAAAAGCCGTCAGCCCTTATGCCATTGATGCAATAACTCACCTTATGAATATGTCTCTTGTAAACAGTGAATTTCCACACACGTGGAAGAAAAGTATGGTACATCCATTGCCCAAAAAACAGATTCCTTCAAACTTTAATGATTTAAGGCCAATATCGGTCTTGCCTGCTATGTCTAAAGTGCTGGAAAAATTAGTAATACGCCAAATAACAGAATTTTTAGATGCAGAGAATCTGCTTCCCAAACTGCAATCAGGGTTCAGAAAGAACCATAGCACCTGTACTGCATTGATGAATATGTTTGCAGACTTGTTTGGGGCGAGGAGCGAGGGCAGGTGTAGCTCTGTAGTCATGCTTGATTTTTCACAGGCCTTTGATTCCATAAGCCATGGTTTGCTCCTAGCAAAATTGAAACATTTTGGTTTTCATTGCAATGCGGTTGCTTGGTTTAGATCTTACCTGGAACACAGACTGCAAGTTACCAGGGTGGGTACCGATATCTCACCTCCTCTAGAGAAATCAAGGGGAGTGCCTCAGGGTAGCTGTCTGGGGCCCATTTTGTTTACCCTGTACACTGCAGATCTGTCCAGATGTGTGAGTCACTGCAATGTGCATTCATATGCCGATGACTGCCAATTGCATTTCTCCTATGAGATTCAGGCTGCTGATCAAGCTTTTGCAGGAGTGAACTCTGATCTGGTGAGAATGGATAAGTGAGTGGTCACGCAAACATGGTTTGAAATTGAACTCTGAAAAATGCATGATTCTTCATATTGCTACACCCACTACTCTTCACAGAGTTGCAAATGGAGACATGCACGTTCAAATCGCAGGAAAACCTCTAATGGTGAGGGATACCGTCAAGACCTTGGGTGTGGTACTTGACAGTGGCCTCACTTTCTCGGACCACATCACTTATGTTTCCCAGGTGGCTTTGGGAAGGCTGCGTGGTCTGTACCGGTACAAAAACATCCTGCCAGAGACAGCCAAGCTGCAGCTGGTACAGTCACTAGTGTTGTCAGTGGTCCATTACTGTTTTCCTGCATACGGCAACAGCATCTCAAGGGAAGAGATGTCCCGATTGCAAAAAGTGCAGAACTCCGCCATTCGTTTCGTTTACGGTATCCGTAAGCGTGAACGCGTATCCCCTTTTCGGGATGCTGCGGGGTTGCTGTCAATGGGTGCCGTGTGCAGGGCGCAGACTTGTAGCCTCATCCACCGGGTCTTGGTTCAGCAAGAGCCTAAGTACTTGGTGGAGAGGCTTGTGGCACGTGGGGAGGTGACTCAACGTGTGACCCGGCAGAACGCCTTGCTCCACATTCCAAAAGTAAGACTAGAAGTGGGTAGAAAAGGGTTTTCTTACTTTGGCCCAAAGATATACAGAGTGTCCATAAAAAACGTTTCAGGACTTTGGGAAATGAATCCCCATACTAAAAGGAAGAAAAAAGTTTATGGGAAGGTATGTCCGAAAATCCATATTTACCCAGATATCCGCCATTTTGTTTTTTATACAAAAATATTTTTATCTGTGAAATTTTTTATTTGATGATTATGAAACTTGGTTAACATGTTACCATACACAAGACCTATAATAAAAAAAATAATAAAGTTGTTCCGATTGTAAATTTCAAAATGGCGGCCGTTTGAATTTTTCTAACTTAAATAACTCGAAAACGGCTAATTCTATGAAAAAATGTCAAGAATACTTTTTTTAGCATTTTTAATTTCCTATCAAACGATACCAAGATCAAAAAGATCGGACAAAAGATAACTGAAATATACCGGTTTTTGTGTAAAAATAAGGCAAAAATTAAGGGTTCCCCGACTAATTTGCCTTATTTTTACACAAAAACCGGTATATTTCAGTTTTCTTTTGTCCGATCTTTTTGATCTTGGTATCGTTTGATAGAAAATTAAAAATGCTAAAAAAAGTATTCTTGACATTTTTTCATAGAATTAGCCGTTTTCGAGTTATTTAAGTTAGAAAAATTCAAACGGCCGCCATTTTGAAATTTACAATCGGAACAACTTTAATATTTTTTCTATTATAGGTCTTGTGTATGGTAACATGTTTACCAAGTTTCATAATCATCAAATAAAAAACTTCACAGATAAAAATATTTTTGTATAAAAAACAAAATGGCGGATATCTGGGTAAATATGGATTTTCGGACAAACCTTCCCATAAACTTTTTTCTTCCTTTTAGTATGAGGATTCATTTCCCAAAGTCCTGAAACGTTTTTTATGGACACCCTGTATAATGATCTCCCCTTGGACCTAAAACAGCTGGGGGTCCTGGCTTTCAAAAGAAAAGTAAAGAAGATGTAAGATGTAAAGTATTGTATATAGCTTATAATTTTGTTTTGTTTTGTCATACACATTGTTTTTGTATCATAATTTTTGTATATTTTTAAGTTAGTTATATTGACATGAGTTACTTTGTAAAACAGTTCTTGTACTGAAAGACGCTCGCAAATAAAGGCATTTTTATTTATTTATTTATTTACCTACGACCGCTTTTTAAAGTAGCCGTTTCAGTTCAGTTTGTAGAATTGAAAAGATTCACATAACAGCATTGTTTGCTTACTTAACAGCATTGCTGTTTTACTTAACAACACAACCAATGGACAATGAGGGTCAAGGATTGAGAGAAAAGAAGTAAAATTGTAATGCTTTGAACATAAACTAATCAGCTGTTTAGACCAATTTAATTGTTAATGAGTGGTGAAATGTTTGATACAATGATTCGTTCTGTCAGTGTCAGTGGCAAAGAGAGGTTAACAAAAACAAAACCTCTCCAATTAGAAGTTACAAGTAGTGATTGTTAGTAATTAAAAAAACTAGGTAAATTAGTGTAGGCAACTCACATAAATAGTCTTAACGACACTTGTAGAAATTTTTAAGTCACTCGCCAAGGATTCGTACCTTACCTTTCTACCCCTGTCGTTTACACAATCTTTAGACATTCGTTGCGTAAACTTCTATAAATATTGTTTTTAATTTTACAAGTTAGTAATGTTGAAAACGAATTGGAAAACGAGCTTTTGAAAGTCAGACAGGAAGATTGTCATGAAGATGAGAAAGGGATGAATTTAGTTGATTGGTCTACGATGGTGGAACGAATCATGTCTTCGTGTCTAGTTTATTTATTGTAATCTTTACAGTAATATTTACTGTAATATTTACTTATGTTGGTGTCATGTCATAATTTAATTTACATGTATTGTGAATAAATTCAAACACAAAATCGACTGCACAAATGATTAGGTCTATATATTTTAATTATAACCTTACTGTCAAAGTGCCGACATTGAATCAAATGGTCTCTTTTTTCATTTATAGGCAGTAGTTCGCTGCAGTCAGGTGGCAGTCTATCTAGTCTTCGGCGTCGCTGGGTTCGCAGTGTTGCCACATCGCTAAATCTAGATGATCCTGCACAACCAGTGTTGCCAAGTGGGAAGCGTACAAAACTGGGTATCTCCCTGATCATCCCATTGTCTCAGTCAAATATACCGTAAGTTTATAACATTTTTTACATTATATTGTAACTAGCAACAGAGCCCGTTGTGGTTAAATACAACGGTCTCTAGTAAAATAATGGTTATGAAATCCATACACCACTTTACTCACTAATATTAACGGTACAGTTTAAGCACATAACATTAGAATCACACATTTAACATAAGGAACACACTTTAAACATTAATGTAAATTGTTAACAACAGCATTTAATCAAAGAGAAATTAATCAGATAACAATATAACAATAAGCTGTTGAATTATTAACACATGTTTCGTATGATTAGATTATGCATACTGGTAAACCAATAATTGCCATCTATAAAAATAATTGGTTTTTCTTTTCCGACCGATAGAATTTTGGTTAGCTCTTCTACCCGACCGATTTTCATAATTTTGGCCTTAAACTAAAGGTATGGACATACCGCATATTTGCCATCAAGCATCGGCATTCATTTTGACGTATATTTCGAGTTATGCACAAACTGCATCCCTGTACATTTCTTATGGGAGTTAAATTTGGGGTTTTCGAGTTCAATGTTTCGCAGGCGGGCGATGGTTTAAAGGAGGGCTCTTCTACCTGCCCGATTTTTATAATTTTGGTCTTAAAATAAAGCTATGCAAGCACATATTTGTCATCAAGCATCATCATTAATTTATCTAATGTATTACTCGACGATAGAATTTTTTTCTCTTCAATTAAAGATGTATTCCAGCAGTTCTAATTACATTATACATTTTGGTCTAAAAACCTTAAGTGAAATACCAGCTTTCATTTGAGCTATTGATTATTAAGATCGGACTACCTAAAGCACACTGCTGAATCACGAATCAACAATAAATACAATCGTTTTAGTACCTATCTGCAATCAATGATACGTAACTCTATTTTTATTTAAGTCATTTTATATGTCTTGGTCTTAAAATACTTCAAAGGCTTTCACTTGAGATATTGATAGTTTTTATCAGTTAAGTTCAAGATACTGTATGGCTCAATAAAAAAATATAGATTTGATTATATCTTGGATATGGAATTTAGTTTTAGCATTGAGTATGTTTATACTCAATGGTTTTAGATACATTTACTTAATTCTAATTACGTTATTCTATTTGTTTTGACCTAAGAACCTTCATTGAAATACCAGCTTCCATTTCATTAAAGCACGCAGCATCACAACCAACACAAATTGTTCAAAAAATGGAGTTTTTTTATCATCGATTTATAGCCAAACGATCTTGCTTGCAACCTCAACAGTACTTTTATAATTATTTGCAAATCTTCACAAATTAGGCTTCCCAATGACCTACCAATTAATAAAATCGGTTCAGTAGAACTGTAGATTTAATCAAAGGTTTAACCAAAGTTTAACAACAACATCTTTAATTCAGTATTTTCTCACTACTATAAACCTGGAGGTTGGTTAACGTTTTTGCAAATAACTTTGAAACGGCGAGGAAATCGACCAAAGTGGAAGGTAATATTCTGAAAAAGAATAAAATTTCCTACAAATTACTATTATGAATTTCCTGAATATACTCAATAAAAGCAGCCAAAAGTTGGCTACAAATATAAAATTGAAAATATAAACCTGGAAAAAAGGAGTTTTAAATGTATCATTTTTTATTTTTTATTGTTTTACCTTAAATACCTAATAAAATCAAACTTTCATAATTATTTGCAAATCTACACAAATTAGGCTTTCCAACGACCCATTAAGTAACAAAATCGGTCCGGTAGAAGTCTAGATTTAGTTGTACAAAGTTTAACAAAAATATATCTAATTCAGTATTTTCTCGCCACTATAAATTTGGAGATCACTTAGATTATTGCCAATATCTTTTAAATGGAGGGGAAATCGACCAAAGTGAATGTGATATTCTGAAAGAGAATAAAATTTACTACATATAACTACCATGCAATTCTTGAAAATACTTAATAAAGGCAGCCAAAAGCTGGCTACAAATTGAATCTTGAAAACAGAAACTTGAAAAACCCAGTTTTTAATGTATTTTTATTATTTTTAATTTTTCGCCACAAATATTTAATAAAATCACAGTTTTATAATTATTTGCAAATCTACATGGGTTAGGCTTTCTAATGACCCATTAATTAACAAAATCGGTCCAGTAGAAGTCTAGATTTTGTTGTACAAAGTTTAACAAAAATATCCCAAACTCAATATTTTCTCATTACCATAAATTCGGAGGTTGCTTAGCTTTTTTGCAAATAACTTTTAAATGGTGAGGAAATCGACCAAAGTGGAAGGTGATATTCTGAAAGAGAATAAAATTTCCTACAAATTGATACCATGCACTTCTTAGAAATATTAAAAAATGACAGCTTAAAGTCGCGCCAAAATAAAAAGTGTGAAAAACACCGTTTCCAATGTATTTCTTATGGAAAACACGTTTTCTTTAATTTATCACCATAAATCATAACAAAAACAAATTTTCCTAATTATTTGCAAATCTACACGACTTAAGCTTTCCAACGACCCATTAATTAATAAAATCGGTCCAGTAGAACTCTAGATTTAGTTGTACAAAGATTTTTAAAACTGAATTATATATAGAATAGATAATACCCCTGCCGCAGCAAACCTGCAGACTAAGCAAATTTAAACTTGTCTGATTACATTTGTACTAGGACTAAAATATTTCCATAAATAAGACCCCTATTTAAATAACATTAGATTTAACGAGTGCTTAGGTTTGCTGCTACGGGGAAGGTAAAAAGTATTTTTTGACCATACGTCAATAGTATAGGATGAACCTAAATAAATTTGCCAAATTTTACTATATATATCCATAAACAAGTAAACTACAACAGTTTTCATTTTCTCCATAAGAATAACATGGGAATTTTAAATTAGACTATTTTTGAATTTTCTCCGTGATCGTTAGGCATACAACAGGGCTTCAATATACTAAATAATTTATTTTTTAAGCTCTACAAAACGGTTTAAAAAGAAATTGCAATTTTTTTGTTTTTAGGGCCAAAAATGGAAGTAGGTGGATGTAATTAATAAATTAGCTCTTATTGCCTTTTTTCTGTAGGCCTACTATTTAGGCTAAGCTTTAAGCATTGATGCAATCATTTCACCTTTGTGTTTAAAATAAAATCTTTATGTTGTAGCTTCTGTTATGAAAATTATCGATTCTGGATTTCATTGCCGTTTGAAACTGTGCCAAAATTAATTTATAGGTTTTTCTTTTTGTCTCTATATCTACCTTTGGGGGTATTTTTTGCATGTTTTGAAAGGGAACGGTCCAAACTCTTGGTCTTGTTGTTACTATCTAATACCGACCTTATGTTAGATAGCATGATAAATTGAGAGCCCAAAGACAAATGGCATCTGGGACCAGTAACAGTCTTGCTTAGAATCAAACCAGCGACCTACTTATTTGAAGGCGAACACGATAATAATATAAAGGCTACTCATACAATATGTTCATAGTGGTTTTAACCAAATAAACACTTTCTTAGAACAGGTCAATGATAAAAACTTGAAAGACATGGGTTTGGATTGTTTCATGGAAATCAAAAACTGCCTCTAGTATGGGAACGAACACATAACAATTGGTACAAATTAAATAAATCAATGTTGCTATTATGAGGCCATTTCCAATAAGAAAGGTCTCTAAATTTAAAGGTGAATTAATTTATTAGCGCTTTGGATCTAAAATTACTTAATGTGAAGGGAAATCAGATGATTTAACAATATTAAGAGTTTCAATTATTCATATCCTTACCTTACTGGCAGCGCCTCAATATGAAATGATCTAGACAACTGGGGGTAACAATTGAGTAGGCTTAACATATACTCAAGACATTTTAATTTTTGTCATAATTCTTGTAATTAATCAAACCTTATTCAGTGCCAATATTCTGTATTTTGTCTTAGAGAGATGGAACAGTTCTTGCTGGACCGATTACCGCTAGTCAACAACATTTTGACGAGACTGCAGCACAGCACGGAGAGGGCGTACTGTCGCAGGGATGTGTTTGTACAGAGCATGCATCAGGCCACGCAGCATGCCATACAGGTAGATCATTATGTAGTTAGCCACACTGTTCTGTGTAAAACAACTGTTATTTTGCATAACCACTGTTAAGTAGGCTTGTTTGACTTTTCCCACTCCACCTGGTGGTAAAGAACTATGAAATTTACCATCAGACATTTACCAAACCGAAACCAGTTGGTTAAGTCTGAACTTTATCAATCCAATGGTCTCGGAACTCGTATTTGCAAACGTTTTAGTTGGACCTTTACTAATAGAAAACACCTGAGAGATATTTTAATTTGTTTATGCAAACTTTTATTGTAACTTGATTGACTCTTTCGATCAAAGCGATCAAGATTGTCTAACCTTCATCACTCATCAAAGCCATATTTTACTTTAGTTGAATTTAGAAACATAATAATACAAATCATAAGCTACTCATCAGGCAAGGCCTACTAACTGATAGATAGTCCTGATAGATTTGTACCTTTTTTGGAAATCTCCTTCATCAGAATAGCCCAGCCCCTCTAATCACCATGCTAAGCGACATGTTAACATGTGCGATTTGGGGTCCTTATCACCAGAGATCCCTCAAGCCCAAACAACCCTAAAACCTTTCTCCTTAACAACTTTATTCTAGTTTTAAGCAAGGCCGATTGTTGAATTTCTCAAACTGAGGTATTGTTTGCTGCAGAGCGTCAGTTCACTGGTGGGAGGTCCGCGACTGGATCGTCCGTTGTGGTTGACAATGACTGATGATCGGACAGACTCACGTTGCAAGGCTGACTTGGAGCAACGACTGGTGTCTGACCTCAAACATCTGTTGGCAGAACTGGACACCAAGCATACCAACTTGTACGTTAAACATGTGTTACTTGATAATGAGTTACCATCCATTCCATTCAATTGGGATTAATCTAAACCATAGAATTTTAAGATACAAGGGTATCCACATGAACAAGGTGAAGCACATGTTTTTATTAAAACAGAATATTCCTGAATAAGACACAATTGATTGATCTGCAGATCTAAAATTATCTCACAGATTGATCTACTGTAAAAATTAAAAATAAAATTCTCCTCCTTATTTTTGGTTATGGTTTTTCAATAAGTTCTTCTTTAAGTTTGTATTGATTAAAAGATATTGTATTTGACAAAAATCAGTGAAACATGAGCTTACGTCTACTCTGTGGATGGCATAATTAATCTAAATTAATTTCTGTAAATTAACTAGACCCATCTATAGTAAAAGTTAAATATACAAATTTTCATGTTAACTTAATAAAACTTAATAATATTGCTTTTTTGCCTTAAGGAATATTGTTTTCTTCAACAGCCTTTTTTTAAGGAGAGTTATTTCTTTTGGAATTCAATCAAGGGGTAATAGAGAAATAAGTTGAAACACATGAAATTGTGGGTGATACTTTTGTCCCAAAGTCAGGGACGCTAACGACTATTTTCCCCACCAAACTTCTTTGCATAAAGAATATACTAATTTGCCAGTGCATGGTTTCCACACAAAAGCAATGAAAAAAACTGCCGTTCAGGAGTTTCGTCATAGATGGACCTAAGCTTTTATAGCAACAGGAAAATTTGTCATCCAACCTTTAATCTTTTGTGGAAAATTTATCTTTACCCTGGTCTCACTCTGGTAGTTTGCTTACGAGGAGCGGTAGTTGCTTCCACTGTGAACATTCTGCCAAATTGTTCAAGCGTTAGCGGTAGCGGTTGGCCAACGGCGAACAGAGTGAGGGACACAGTCTTGCCATCTCTAACTCTGCCAAATAGGGTAAAACATTAATAATAGTACTGGTCTAGCCTACGAGTGCAATGGATCCCGTTACTATTTGTAGCGCTTACTTACTAATTATACCGCTGATCTTAGTCAGTAACAAAGCAACACAGGTCATCACACATCATTCTACAATCATCCTTCACTCATATTTGGGTTAAAATACGCACTTAGGTGGCGTCCCCATCTCAATGATTGATAATTGATAATTAAAAAGAGAAAACGTAGACAAAGACGATGGGGTGTACACCCTATCAACCGTGCCAGGAAAAGTGACGGACACTTCAGAAAATTGTTTGGGTTATTGAGAGAAGACAATGAGAATTTTTTAAACTTTAGTAGGATGTCTACGAAAGTGTTGCTCTTCTTCCGCAGACTCCATCACTCCGTCAAACAAGAGCTCACAGTAAACGAATAACCTCTGACCGAATCCTGAAGACAATGCATGAGCGTATAAGGTTGGAAGTTGGCAACACTGTGTGCATCCGCTCCAGCTCCCGCCGTGCCTAATCAGTCCCATTTGACTCAATGTAGTTGAAATCCACTCACTCTCAAACAACTACTGCGATTTCTAACTACACAGTTGTCAAATTAGAAACCGCCGCGGGAGGACAACCGCTACTGTTCCCGCTCTTCGTGCATAAACGGGGCCTTACCAGCAAGAATACCTTCTGCATTCAGGACAATTTTTCAATGTTTTCTCTACTCCCACTGGGTTCTCTAATTTCCTCAAAATGTGTCCCTTTTATTGTCACAAGAATTGTAGTTGCATTTAGTATCATGCAGGAGTATAGTTATTTAGTTAACAACATTTCTGATTGTTCCAGTTTCATCAGCACTCTGTTGACTGCCGTGCTGACTCATCATCTAGGCTGGGTGCCGACTGCAATGCCTGATATTCCGCTCAACACAGAACCTTCGGTAAGTCACCTGCTGTGCTGATAGGTTAAGCTTGGATAGAGTACTGTTTAGTGCAGTAGAAATAATCGAAAATATAGCTTAAGGTGGAACTAATTGGAACACAAATGATTCTTGCTGTGAATGGTAGGTAGTATGCTTCTAATCAACATACTAAAAATATACATCCGTACTGTGGCGCAAAATACGTTTTTTGGCCGCCATCTTGAAAAAAGTGTCAAAATTTTAATATTCGTAAAAATAGCTTTTTGGGTATCAAATTATAGGAAATTTAATGCTGAAAAATGTTATAATAGTGGTTATAAGCACTATTTAGAAATACGATCGTAGTACAAAATACCCCCGCCGCAGCAAACCTGCAGACTAAACGAATTTCCATTTGTCTTAATTGATTTTCAATTAAATCTAGTAATTCAATTTTTAAAATCTTTGTACAACTAAATCTAGAGTTCTACTGGACCGATTTTATAACCTAATGGGTCATTGGAAAGGAATTCGTGTAGATTTTCAAATAATTATTAAAGTTTGATTTTTTAAGATTTGCTAGGTGAAACCCGTCAACGTCGACAATTAGCTTAGGTAGGCCTACTGTTGAGTTTGCAAGTAAGATCTTTTTAACTATAAATCGATGATAGATAATTCCATTTTTAAACAATTTGGGTCGTTTATAATTTAGCAGTGTGCTTTAGGTACGCCCAATCTCAATAATCAATAATTCCAATGGAATCTGGTATTTCACTGAAGATTTTTAGATAAAAACATATAGGATAATGTAACTGCTGGAATATATTTTGAATTGAAGTAAAAATTGAAAAAATTCAATTTAATTGTTTTCGTAGGGTTATACATTTGATAGATTAATGATGAAAAATATGTGCTTGCATAGCTTTGAGACCAAAATTATGAAAATCGGTCCGGTAGAAGAGCCAAACGAACTCGAAAAAAAACAAATTTATCTCCCGTAAATAATGTACAGGGAGGCAGTTTGTGCATAGCTCAAAATATACGTCAAAATTAGTGCTGATGCTTAATAGCAAATCTATGGTGTGTCTATAGCTTTAGTTTAAAGCCAAATTTACACTATGTAGCAAAACCTGCTATATAACTTTTGCTATATAACATTGCTTTATAACTTTTGCTGTATGAAAAATTTACAAACAATTTTAGTGATTCTGGTGCTCGTGCTATATGTTATATGTAGCACAACCTCATTCGCATTCCGTATCGAAATGTGCGCTGAAGAGACATTGTTCGTGGCAGCTATCGTGGTGATCTTGGAAGTCAGAGAGAGAGACAGACAGGAGCGAAGATTTTAGCAAGTTTTAGGTTTGACCGCTTCTTGCTTCGAGAAATAAGTACAGTGTAGCAGATTTATTACGGGACCTTAATGATGATGAATACCCTGACAATCCAGAATTAAAACGTTAAATAAGGCGACGGTAACTTCAAAAACGTTTCACCGTTTTACGTATGATCACAACGCCAGTTGTCCATGGAACAGTTCAATTTAGTGATGGGACAACCGACTGGAAAAAACAATCGACTAGTCAATCGGTTGTTTTAAAAACCAGTCGGTTTTTTCATTCGGATGAAAAACCGAGTGAATTCCACTACAACTGGTGGTGTTCAATCGGCGCTATGGTTTCAGTCATTGCAAGGAAAACAATCGATCACATTATAACTGGAAACGTTTGAGTCTTTGTTGTTGATTTATCGTTTGTTGTCTTTTGTGTTAAAATTGTATATGTATTATTACTTAATAACATTTAGTTTATACAGTACAAGTTATAAATTATTCAGTAGTCCTACTTTCTCAAACTAAACTCAGTAAAACAAATATTTCTATTTCATGAGTAGCCTACAGTACTTAAAAAACAGTGACTTGGAAATTAAACATTTTTAAAGACATAAACAATACACATAATTACATTATTTTAATTATACCTAAACACTGTTCACAATTAGTGTACAGTACGATAGTTGATCTACAGCAGTTTTCATTCACCAGTCAGTCCCAATCCCAAAAACAGTCAGTATAGTTCTTACGACTAGTTTCAATCTCAATCACCGACGTTTGACTGTTTCCAGTTATTCCAACGATTGGTTGACTGGTTTCAGTTTCAGTCGCCATAGGAACGGGAGTATGAAGTGACTAGTTTCAATCATATCCGGGAGAACAATCGACTAGTCGGTTGTTTTCCAACAATCGATTGAATCGGTTGTTTTCAATCAGTTGTTCCCATCACTAGTTCAATTAAGTTTATAATATCAATAGCCCCGATAATATCATCCCGATCCTAGGCACTGCCACTTTCCGTTTCCAGTCCTTCCATTGTAAACAAAGATCGCTGAGCAAAACCGTTCAGCGCTACATATAGCAGATGCTAGACGAAAAATATATGTATATCATTGCTACATATGGCAATGTTAGATGTAGCACGTATTTCTTTTGATATTTACCGACTCCCGATGGATAGCACAATTTTAGCTATATATAGCAGGATCTGCTACATATAGCAGTGTTATATAGCACTTTTGTAAAGTTACTTTTTCTACTTCTAGCCAATGTTATATAACATCGCTAGATGTTACACAAATCTGCAATGTAGCAGGTTTAGCTACATAGTGTAAACCCGGCTTAAGGCCAAAATTATGAAAATCGGTCTGGTAGAAGAGCTAACCCGACTCGGAAAAGAAAAACCAATTATTTTTATAGATGACAATAATTGGTTTGCCAGTATGCATAATTTAACCATACGAAAAATGAGTTGATAATTTAACAGCTTATTGTTATATTGTTATTTAATTAAATTTTCTTTGATTAAATATTGTTGTTAACAATTTGCATTTGTGTTTAAAGTGTGTTTCTTATGTTAAGTGTGTGATTAGCTAATGTTATGAGCTTAATATGTACCAAATATTAGTGAGTAAAGTGGTGTATGGATTTCATAACCATTATTTTACGAGAGACCGTTCTCTGTTGCTAGTCTATTAAATAAATAACATTAGGTTTAACGAAATGAGTACCAAGGTTTGCTGCTACAAGGAAACCAATTAAGTGTGTTTTTAGTCAAATATTAATTGTTTAGTATAAAATAAACTAGGAGTACGCTCCGAAGTCGCGTATGAGAATGAACGAAGACAATTTCATACATACAAATATGTTATTTAACAGTAGATCAACCACATTCATATCAGTTGATCAGCTGCTCAAGAAGTTTTAACTTAATTAAGGCACTTATCAAATCCATAATACTATAGATGAAACAAACTCCCTAAGGGAGTATGTTAAATCTACAGTATGACAATACTTTTTCACCAAAGCAGTTTCTTTACTGCACTTTGGGCTTGTGTCATTAAAGCAGCTAGGACCAGGAATCAGGGAGATGGTTTATGCATGGAAACTTTGGTCCAAGGTTTCTTGGATCCACTAAAGAAACGGGTAAATTTTCAAATTCCGTGATGTATAATCAAAGAATGTATTTCAATTTATTACTAAACCCCGCAATATTGCTAGAAAATGCTAAGCAATATAGGTTTGTCAATCTAATAAATAAAATCTCCAACAATTATTATTTGTGATGATTCATTGCTGTAATGTACAGCAGTGTGTAAGAACATCTATCACATGACCCATAAGAAGAATTACAATCATATCACAATACATGAGAATTTAAAACTTGTGTGGCGAGGTGGAGGAGAAAACACTATTTTGAACCAGCAGATACTGCTGATTTTGTTGTGCGAGTGATAAAACAAATGTTTTAAAGTTTTAAAACTTCATATTTAGATTCATATTTTAAGTCATTATCATAATAGTTTTAAATGCAAAATTACTATGAAGGAGTAAATATTTTCTAAATATCAAGTATTTTTTTCCCTCCTACAACTTCACACACAATTGGAGAGTACTGTCAAATGTTCGACTCTCTAGAGGACGAGATCCTAAAAATCGATGGTGAGGTGACTGTTTGGAGGGATTTCAATGCTAGTGTGGTGGAATGTGAAACAAACACAGGAAGGCGGTATGTTTTAGAGAGGGCAGCCAGGCTAGCTCTCTATATCCTAAACACAGGTGACGTTTCCAACATCCGCCACCCCCGGCATGGAATGATGGTCCCTGACATCTCTCTGGCATCTGAAGCCAGAGCCCACCAGCCACTGAGCCCACCGGTCACTGATAGGAGAGTCTTTGAGGACTACTCTGCAAGCGACTTATCTGGCAATTTTCTTCAAGGATATTCCTGAACTTTCCTGAGCTGGGCAAATACACAATATGCCAGCTCAGTTCATCCGTCTCAATGTATCTCAGTTGTCTTTGCCAGGGCACATTTCAGGGTTACATAAAAAATTAGCCTGTTGGGGACATTGGAAGTGCCTAATTTCAAGCTACGTTGACAATGCGTTCCACCATCTCCGGCATTTGATCGTTCCATGCCTAGGATTTTTGCCACCGCAGAAAGAAGCCAGTTAACTGGTGGAAACCCAAGATTGTAGAACCCTGGAGAATATGCCTTGAGCTCCAACGAGCAGCGCACCATGCCAGAAACTGGCCTGAAGCTAGATCGGCAGAACTCAAGGCCGCAATTCAAGATCCCCATATAGTGCTATCAACTGGAGTAACATCAGGTGCTGGAAGCAACTGTCAGGACATTCAGAACAATCCTTGAGTGATGGGCTACAAGATTGTAACCCAAATGATAGGGACTTGATCACCAACTACAGTCATGGAACCTGTCACCGTTTCTACTGTCATTGAAGCGTTATTTCCAAAGCATCCACCGCTACCAGCGAGGGAATTTGGAGATTAGGGCGCGTTACCAGCCTTTCGGGAAGAGGGACTTTCCTCCGCTGTCCCATTCCTTAGAAATGGAAGAGCACCTAGCCCTGATGGCATTCCTGCATAATTTCTACAGCTTGTTGGTGTTCATTAGACTGATACTTGAGATACAAGTCGCTAACTAATACCTGAAGAATTCAGTACTCAATAAAGAACTTGTAGT